GTGCGTGCGTGTATGTACATATAATATATATTGTAACATAAGATTACAAAAATAAACTTATATATAAACAAAAAATCGAATTGATTAAATGTCGTTTTTAAAAAAAAACATTTTTGTTCGTCTTTCTCTCGACTCATTTAATATAAAAATTTTACAAATTACTGCGACTGAAATCTACGGTTAAATCCACCATCTTAAATCGTAGATTACAGCAATTGTGGTGGAAAGATAGAAGTGCAAAAAAGTGCGCGCCACTGGTAGTAGAAATACGAAAGAAAGAAAAGTCTGGGCTGTGTTCTCGAAACACACGAAAAGAATCTACGGGAGGAAACGCGCAGATCGTAGGGACTCCGAATACACGGCGGGAGAAAACATAGGACCACGTTTCGCCATACAATACACATATACGTACGCGAGCGATGTTATGCGTGTGTAGCACGTTTTCCTTAGGATAGAGCCGTGCCGCTTCCACGCACACCACACATAAGTGTGCACACGTACACGTGCATACATATACACGTGCCACCTATACGACCACATCGGTCCACACCGACGCATAGATTGCATACTTATGTCGGCACTGTGCACATAAAGTTAGGGGAGCGCGCGCTCTCCTTCGCTGCCGCACAAGAATAAGAAACACGGTAGCATACATAAACAAGAAGGTTGGGGATGCAGCAATTTAAAACGTACCCCGGAATTCCTCCCAGCGGAGTCGTAGAACGGCCCTCCGTATTACGAATTCCCCCCCGCCTTGCCTGGTGTCCTTCTGCATCTTACTGGGAATTTCGGTCGTATAAAGTGGTACTATGGGCGCGAGAAGCCAGTGTATTAGCGGATATATCTGTCTGATACATCCGCTGACGATATCGCTACCGGAGAGACCCCGTATTGTGGATTTCGATGACATGTAATCGGTCGTATAGGCAGAAATGACGTTCTCCTACGCAACTCACAGTATCCATACGGGAATGCAAGCTCCCGGAATAAATTTGTCTTTTTCGTAAAAAATTTTGATAAACTATATAAATATTTTGTGATACTTTTGATATCAATCTTGTACTAAATATATTAGAAAAATTAAATAATATGTATTTGAAGAAATGAAGGTAGAATAACTTATAGTTTCACAATTTATTAGAGTTAAAAAAAATCAAAATAGAGAACATTTTAACACACATAACATAGTAAGAGTTTTAAACAGAGCTTCTTTTGTATTTTTACTCGAGAAGAAATCAAGGAAAATGGTTCTTTCAAATATACATAAAGGATTAATTGTAAATAAAATTTGTTTTGATACACACAATCAACACGGTATAACCGGCAATATTAATGTTTTTTAAGCAAATATGTCTACATAATTTATTTAAACTACGCGAGAGCTACTACGCATTTGTAACTTGAAAAAATTGATTTTTAATAAAAATTATAAGAAATATGTGCATGTATATATTTTTGTAAAAATTGTTATACAAATCTTTATAAATATTCATAAATGACACACAAACAAATAATACCTGCGTCTTATAAATAAAACTGAACATTCTCCAGAATAGCGTTTACATTGTGTAATGCAGCAGTACTGAAAAAAGAGAAATATACAATAGATATTTCATAACAATCTTACTTTTATTATACATAAAATATGTAACTAAGATAAATTTATAATATCTTAAAAATAGTTACTAAGTAAAATGAAACCTTTATTTTTTTTAAACATATTTGTGTATGTAATTTTTTGGATTTAATAAAAACAAAATTAAATTTAAAAAGTCTAACGCAAAATAAAGAGAAAATATGTTGAAACAACATCGATAATTTCATCAAATATTCTATTATAAATTTTCTTGTATCATTCCGAGAGATGTCTACAATCCACTACACGGAGCACAAGAGTGGGTCTTAATCATAGCGCTCGTGCAAAACTTGGTCGAACAATACCGACGCACGAATCCTTTCATGGTATTACCTATTATGGAGATCAGTGTGCCGGCATCGGCGCGGATAAGTCAAATAATGTTAACAATGGAAAATTTCGAGTTACTTCAGCTCGTTGTGAATCGAGCGCGATTGAGTGTTTGAACGGCGGTGTCGCCTCGGGCGGCTGTGTTTGCAGATATAAGGGAGTCGAGCTAGGGTCTCTCTCTCTCTCTCTCTCTCTCTCTTTCTCGGCGAGTTGGGGAAGTTCAATTGGTGGCAGCAATCCTAGTAATGTACCCGTGGGGCTGTGTCAAAGTGCTCTCTGCAAGAGAGCACGACATTGCATTCTGCATTCTACACCTTCGTTCTTAGGCAGGAGCGCGAAGAGTAGAAAAAAGAGGGGCGGGAGTGAAGAAGGAAAAAGCGAGTACAGAAAGAGGCGTGGGATTCCTGTCGAAATCCGTTCGTTCTTCATCTTTAGACTTATCGGTAAAGATAACAAAGATGTCTACGGGAGATGAATAATGCAAGATAGCTGACAATATTTGAGCAGCGGGACAGAAATTTAGAGACACGTAAAAACGAGCTCCTTTCAGATACGAGTAGCTGTAAAATGTGCGACGGGATGTACATACGTATTGTTTGTGCGAATCGAGCGCGATATGGATCCTCTCGTGACTCGCAAATAATTCACACAAGAGTGTTATTCAGTAAAAAATGTTGCAGATATAAAGAAAGAAGAAGACAAAGAAGGAAGGGCAAAAACAAACAAAACAGAATATGTTGTTGTTAAAAAAAAGAGATTGTAGATTTAAATGTAAATCAGATACTTTTGCTCAAAGCGCTTGATCTTTTTACATTTGGTTACATAATTCTACTTATTGTATAACATAGTATCTACAAGTTCTTTATTTTATTAAATATATATATATATTTTTTTGGAGTACATCTGGTTCAAGAGAGAGTAAGAGAGAGAGAGAGAGAGAGAGAGAGAGAGAGAGAGAGAGAGAGAGAAGAAGAAGAAGAAAAAAAGAATACGCGGGTTATAATCCAATAAAGATCGTTATAGGCACGGCAGGCGCAGTCTCTGCCATTGCCATTCTTATTTCTCTAAGAGATTACTCGCGTGCCCAGCGCCAGGTTAATGGCGCCACGCGCGAAATCCGACATTTAATTGAATGTCGGTAGCGGGCCGGAGGCTACCACTGGCATACATTTTAATTCTGCAGATGTGGCCTGAATAGGCCTTCAGTCTTTTCGCACCTACGCGCCCGGCGACTTCGCTTAAAAAACCGACGAAGCTAAATAATGCACATCACGGCGGCGAGAGCGGGCGGTAAAACAGTTATAAAAACACCGGCAACTACGTTAGGATAAATTATTTAAGATGTACAGCTCCGTAAAGAGAGAGTAGACCAGTCGTAAAGGGGGCGGAAGAAAGTAGCGCCCCTAGGATGAGTTCGACGGGACGGGGAGAGTTCCCGCGGAAGCTGCCGCGGGAGTTATAAAGGTTGCAGTTAAAAGTTCCTTGAATTATCAAGGGATTGACTAGCCAAAGACACAGTCGGCGGTTATTTTAAAATGACGGCTAAAATTTCAATCCTACAATGTGTCCGCCGCACATGAAAATAATAATTTTTGCTACTTCTAATTAATAGCATCTTTTGATCAATACATTAAATAAGCTTATCTATATTGATCTATAAGTTAAATATATATATCGTAAATATATATATCGATATAAGTTAAATATATTTATTGTAAGTTACAAACCGATTTTTTAATCAAGTTTATCTGATTCTTTTTGTCTTCTCATTCTTCATAATTTGTAAAATCACATATAAAGGATATCTATAGTCTGATCTGATCACATTACTTGTTTCTTCTTAAATTTATATCGAATTATCTTTGATAAAACATTTAAATAAAACAAAGACCAAGAATCAATCATAACAAGCGCTGAATTAAAAAAGAATGTTTCTTTAATTATAATTTTTAATTTTAATCACACACTCTCTCAAATATATATAAATGAGATAAACACTTAAAAATGTTTTTTTTATCATAAGCAAATTATAATTTATATATATACTTCAATTGTGACACACCATAATAATAATACATATATATCATATTATATAAAATTACTTATATTAATAAATTATTACACACACACACATACAAAAGATATACATGTATACATATATATATGCATATATCTCTTCTGCGCGCGTGCGCGTGTGTGTGTGAGTGTGTAATGATTTATTTTCCATTTATCTTTCAATTTCCGTTTATCAATATTTATGTTAACACTGGACTAGTAAAATGTACCATAACTCCTGTTTTTATTTGTAATTGATAAATGGCCGTATAACTCGTTTGCGCCATAAAGATAAAGTACTCGGATTAAATTATACGCCCATTTCTCGATTAACGAACCAAAACTGCACGTAACTGGAGTGCATAGTCTATTTCATAAATCCTCTTTGTTGATATAACAAACGTTGATGTGTGATATTACTAAATTATTATTACGATACATGTATATATATATATATATTATAAAAATAGATTATTATATTCTTTGTATATTATTATATAGTACGGTATATATTGTATATTTGTATATAGTACAGTAGCACAGTGACATAAAGGAGAAAAAAATGTCAAACTTAATAAAGATTGCAAGGTTTATATTGGTTAGAAAGTCTTTTCGTATTTTCGTATTAAAATTCATATTCGTAGAAATACAAAAAGACTTTCTGACCAACCTGATATTATGGAAACAAAATAATTTTTAGTAAAATTAAAAACCAGTTATGTATTAAAAAGTCACTATAATATCTAAATACTTTCATCTCTTTTACTTGCTGTTTATGTGGAAATAAAATAATGCAAATAAAATCGATACTCTTTTATTAGAAATAATTATGCAACATTCTGTTATTTTTGCAAACTTTTTCAACTTTTTAAGAAACTAATTTTCTACTAATAATATATTGAATTTTGTTATATAATTATCATATTCTTATATTTTGTAAATTATACATGTGATAAAATAAATAAATAACTATCACGCTTTTAATGTATTATACAATGTAATAATATGATAAATAAAATTAATAAATGCAAGTGGCTAAAAAAGTTACTCTATATTAGCAGTTGATTAATTGCATTCGAGTTATTCACAAATAATTCGATGCACAGCTTTAACTGTATGGTAATATTTGAAGACTTATTGTAGCCAACTTTTTCTTTAGAATATCGCTTCTGCTTGAAGATCCTCATGGTTTTGTTTCAGTTTCTTTCTAAATAAAGAAAAAAATATATAATTATTGTTCTTTTTTTTTCTCTTCTTGTACACATACAGCCGGAATCTATATGTGCTTTTACACAAGAGAAAGAAAGAGAGAGAAGTTGCACCAAAAATATTTTAAATAATGAAAGACATTATTTGGTGCAACTTAATATTTAAAAGCATATGAACCCGACTGTGTTGTATATAAAATATATATAATTAAAATATATATGAATATGTGTGTATTCTACATAATAATATTTCGAGTTTATATATACACAAAGAATACATACTAAATTGAATTTTTTTTACGTACTTTCCAAACTCTTCACCGTCCTGAAGCGTTTCCGGTAATATACATCCGGCAGTTTCGGGTAATAACAGACACAACGCTGCTCCAGCTAACGGCATAATTCCGAAAATAATAGGCGGTAGCCACGCTTCAATGTAATTCTAAAATAATATCTACTATTGGTAATCTAGGAAACTTTTGTACACGAAATGTGCATGTGTGTGTGTATCCAGCAATATATATGAAATAAAATAAATAAATATAAAAATATGTAATCTGCAGATCTAAATCTCCATAATAAAAATTTTGAAACATGATGCTACACACATACACAACATTTATTTATAATCACATTCTCGTTATATTAAATTATTCTTCTAATATGTATATCTAAACTTACCAAAGATACTACAAAGGGTGCTAGAATAGAGCCTACTCTGGCAAACATGCTGCTTGTACCAACTCCAATGTTTCTTATAACCGTAGGAAACAGTTCTCCAGAGAAAAGATAGACTGTCGTAAACGATACCGACATGCCGACAATACTGGAACATGCTAGAAGCAATCTCAGCCACGCCATATCTATAAGAAATAAATGTATATATTACTAACATGCGCGTATGTATGTAGTATAGAGTTGAATAATTGCCTGATAATTATATTGCTTATTATAAATTGCTTCTATTATTTCATAATAGATAAAAAATATTCACGTGATAGATTTTTACCTTTTGCTACGATAAGTAGGAATAAACAGGCTGCGCCAGCTATGGAATTACTGCAGATCAAAGTAATTCGCCGACCTAATTTATTCATTGCCCACCACGCGACAAAGTTTCCCGGAATTTGTATAGCACCTGACATTGCGAAATTAATAAAAATATCGCCACCGACCTCGCCAATGTATTGTGACATGCCAAACAAACCCATTCCGCAAACCATCCAATTGAAGAAAATTGAAAGAGATTTAACTCTCATGTTTGGTGTGCGAAACAAGTCCAAAAATGAAGCTTTATGATCCAGCGTAGATTTCTTAAGATTCTAAAATATACAAAAAAAATAAAAGATAAAAAAAAGAAAAAGAGAAAAAGAGAGCGCTTCTTTTCATTAGCACTAAAACTTGAATGCTTGTTATTCTTACTTGGTGCAGATAATGTTTTCTAACTATTTCAGAAATGTCTACATTTTTCACTTTATTTATGTTTGCTGCTTTCTGCAATATTTTGCAAGCTGCTTTCTGTTTTCCCATAGCCAATAACCATCTAGGTGATTCAGGTATTATCCACCAATAGCTTAAAAGAATAATGGATGGAAGAGTAATGGCAATTTGTAGTTGCTGCCAATGTCGAAACCAATACGCAAGTCCTGCTAACGACATATGGCCTAAACTGAACGGAATTTGATATAAAATAGTGATAGCAGCTCGCCATTGTGTACCTACTATCTCCATACCTAGAAGAATATAAAAAAACGTTTATTTAAAAAAAAGAAAAAAATTTAATATTTATAAATACAATATAATTTCTTAGTACAAAAAGAAATCTTTTTTTTGTCTGATTAAATTTATTAAGTTTGAAAAAGTGCTAAGATACTTACAAATTACGTAACTAGTAACCATCGTGCCTCCAGTAGCCAATGCACTCAATAGCTTCATTAGCAATAAAACGTGAAACCAAGGAACTGCAGCACATGCAATGCCTGATAACAGTTGAAGAACAACAGAAACCATCAGCGGCATTTTTCTGCCGTACCTACGTAAGACACCTATATTTATATATATATTATGTATATTTTTATTTCCCTGTTTTATCACACATTTGATAATATGCAGTGCACTTGCCTGTCCGCAAGACTACCAAAGATTATATTTCCAAGAAGCACTCCGAACATAAGAATAGACTGTTGGATATTTGCAAAATGCGTTCTATCGCAGACTAAATTCCACTGGAACAGTAACTTTTATTTAGTCGTAACTTTTGTCTATTTATTTTATAAAAAAACTTTTATAAAAAAATAACTAAACATTTTTAAAGAAAGATATTCTGAGTGGTTTATTTAAATTTTGTAAACATGTTTATTTCTCACTTTTCATTTAATACAACTTTATGGTTTTTTAAATTCTTAATATAAATTTACCTGCGATATGATGGTCTCGGGAAATGTCTTTCTATCGTACTCCCATTCTGTGCATTTGATCAGCGTGCCATTATGATTGACCGAGCATTGATCTTTGAAATCTATAGTAATCGGGTTCGTGCAGTTGTAGTTTTGATGAGGAGCCATGAAGACGATTGCCAATTGATGCCAAGCTACCGGAAATTTGACCAGAGAAACTGCCAGACAGACGATAATTTGCCACCTGCCGAGATCACCGATCGCGATTTGAACGGCATCCACATTAGCGCCAGATTCAACATCTTTACAATTAGGAATTTGCCTAGCGTTTATGTTTCCTGTGAAAAATCATTTTATAAGAAACTTTTGTTTCTTTACTTATGTATATTACACACATATATAAATTATTCTCTTGCATTAAAACAACTCTTTTTTTGTGTGTTCATATAAACTTATAATAAAAAATATATACTTAGTCATGTTGCCTGATATAATACTTGTATAAAAAATTTACATAAAAAATTTTATGTACACGTATATATAAAATATGTGCAATACAGTTGAAAGAATAAAATATAAAAAATTTTCATTTATCTCTTATATAAACATTTATATAGTAATCAAATACTTTTACTTTTAGATTGATCAAGTAGTTTACATTACATGAAAAAAAGTTCACATTTATATTAACTTATATTTGTTAATGTATTTATCTGTTTATACAAAATTTATTAGCACTGGTAATTTATGATTATGATGATATATTTCCAACAACGATAAAACGAGAAATCATGTAAACTTAATTGCGCGTGAACATATAAAATCCATCTCGGAAGAATATATTAAGCGAGAAAAACAGCGTGTGATTTTCCTTGCAGTACTCGATAATCAAAATTACTTTATCCACAATAGCAATTGTTGGAAGTATTTACATAGTTAAAGATCTGACCTTGCTTGCTTACAATACAATAGTTTATAAATATTTATAACTAATACAATGTTCATAAATATTTACAAGTTATAAAGTGTTTATAAATATTTTTGAATATAAGATTAGATTTAAAGAAGTTTTAATTAAGTTCTTTAAAAAATAAATATTAGTATATACTATTTTATAAAACTGAGATGAAAAAAAGTAAAATAGAAAAATCTAAGAAAGAAATGTGTATGTTTTTGTTTACAAAAGCAAATAGCAAAAAATTAGTTATGATAATTTCATAAATTTAAATGTATTTCTTTCTTAGCTCACTAATAATTTTCATTAGAACACATCAGACAAATTTTGTGTCAAATTCGATAAGTGGTAACTTTATCAAAAAAAAAGTAAGAGATCAAACTATTTCTTCTTTATTACACATTTTTGTAAAAAAGTTTTTTTATAAAAAAAAGTAAGTTTGAGATATTTTAAATTAAAGCATTATACTTTTTATTTTAATTTATTTTGTGCGCGCGCACGGGGGTGGTATATAAGTACAAAAAAAACATTATTTATGCAAATGAATTTTTGAGAATATGGTGACACGAATTTCATATAAAGTGCTATCGATAATCACTTGATATGACAGTAATACACTACTACATGTTGTAAACGTATGTACTGTGCATTATGCTAAATGACGACCAAACCAGTTTGCAGAAGAAAAAATCCTAGTCAGTGAACCATAAAATACGTGCTAACCTCGAGACATCAAGAAGACAACCTTCAATCTCGGGCGTTTGCATCAAAATTCTTCTTTGAAAACTTAAGAGGTCAGTTTTTGTTTTTTAAGTTGTCATGTAGATATAAATTCTAGCATTGTTATATTATATGTCGCTAAAAGAAATTAATTTAATTTAACACAGATTTTTTACAACAAATGTAGAGTGTTGATTGTATTGGTTTACAAAAATATAAAAAAACGCGTTATCGTTTTTTCTTTTATATATAGTTTTCAAAGTTACACATGCATTTGAAATATCTTGAATTGATTAAATTTTATATAAAATCAACAAAAAAATATGAAAGTAAAAAGTATGTAAAACTAGTTTTTTAAAAAAGTATGTAAAACTATTTTTTAAAAAAAGAATTAAAAAGAGAAATTTTATTAGAAATTTGTATTCTCGGTTGATACATCTCATTAATGTGTCAATGACGATGTCGTTATGTTAGTAATATAAAGTTGTTTAGTTTTAACACGTATTAAGTTAACATTAAATATATATAAACATATATAAATTAAAAATATAAGTTAAATATATATGAATCATTATATACAAAGTTTTTTGTTATTTCTTTATGTATATATATATTATAAGTTAATATATATATATATATATATATATATATATATATTATAATTTAATATATATATTATAATTTATATTCAGAAACGTACCATGTTCTTTTGGTTTCTTCATATCACTATCCTCTGTTTCTACTTTTTGTGTAATTCCACTCTTATGGTTTTTAAATATCTGTAATATAAATGATGAAAAAAATGTAAATAACACAAATCAAGGCAATCAATCTGTAATGAACATTTGTTTGTTTATTTTAATTTTATTATTTAATAGGTAAACGCAAAATTTGTGTTGTACAATCAGTTTATTCTTTTATATCTCTTTTTTATCTTTTATATTCTTAACAATCAGTTTATTCTTTTATATATAAACTTGTCTTTTCTCCTTTCACTTGCTCTTTTATTTCTTCTATCTCTTATAATCTACTAAGAACTTAATTTTTTGCGAGACAATCACTTCCTTTCAACATTCTTGAATTATAATTTCATACCAAAGCTCTAACGGGAGATTAAATAATATACATCAATCATAATATAAAAGTATCACCATTGAGTATAAAAAATAAGAATTAATAATTTTACACGTAGTATTTTCTCTTGTTTAACAAATTAAATACATATATTTAATATATTAAACAAATTACATATTTTTGTCTTATATCACGATTCTTTACGACATTTCCTAACATTTTTGTGTAAACAATCAAAATTATTTATGTCAGCATAATTAAATAGTATATTTATCTAGACAATTCCATTAAATAAAGTTCTGTTATCCAACATCTGAGTAAACAAATTCTGTTAACACAGTTTGGTACATCATAAGATTCATACTTTATATCTCGTATTACGATATTAATATCGTGATGATTGCTTGTGTTAACAATTTATCGCAAAAGGAATCTTGAAGGAAATGTGCTCACTTAACATCATGCAAAAGTGACAGGATATTGAACTGAGAAGAAAAAATAAAAAACAGAATAAAAGACATAAAACATGAAGATGCATTTAATGATTTTTCACGTAGATATAATTTTCTTTTCGCTGTTATTATCGTGTTATTACTATTATTGTTATTGTTCCTGCTACGGTCTAATTACAATTGGCGCGCGGAAATTTCAATTGGCGTAAACGTCACATCTAATATTTCAAACAGTTTATTTTTTCGCAAACATTATTCCTTATTTTACATGTGTTTTTTTTCGTATTGCATATCATTAAGATTAACAAAAGTTGTTAATTGCTCTTATTTTACAATATTGGTAAATTCAAATAATGTTTCTTTTCGTCAACAATTCAGAAAATTCTGAAAAACTTCTTACTAACTTGTCACAAATTGAATTTCTTGAACCGTAAATATCAATAAAATAAATTCATGTATAAATATTCTTGTGTTACTGACTGTGCATAAACTTGCTGACTTTGACTTTAGTTATAACTTGGAAAAAATAAAATTGATATTAACCAATAGTATATAAATGATAATTTTATGTAATTTTTCAAGTTTTTTTATTTATAAACATTCTTTTATATATTAAAAGTATTAGAAACAAAAATATATATACATATATATATATATGTATATATAAATAATGTATTTGTGTGACAAATGATACTAAAAAATTTCTACTCTTTTTTAAAATAAAAAAATCATTATCTAAGCTTGTTAAACGAGATAAAATTTATAAGAAACTTGGAAACTTTTGATTTGCATTTTGTGCAAAGCCGTGCAAAAAAATACTAGTTATTTATTCTAAAATAAAATAATCAATTACTCATCGATTAATACTATGCCTAAACAAAAGTACTAGTTGCTACATAAACGTACTTAGTTGCTTACATAAATGAAACTTAGATATCCGTTTGTTTGCTGGAGATTCGAGACCTCGAATTTATACACTCACGTAAACGTAATATAGTAACTGGAGTATGCGTTTGCTTGCGCATGCAGTTCGTACAGAACTGACTGGCTCGAGTATAACGACTGTCACTTATTTGATACGTAAGTCGTGTAAATTCTTTCACAAGCTGCTTGTTCTCTTCAGCTTCCAAGAGAAGGGATATCGGCGCCAACGTCACGTCGAGACGCGGCGCCTGTTACGGAAGACCACTAGAAAATCTCTATCTACTATATTTACCTGTGCAATTGTATAAACGAGATGACAGAAGTGAATTGGAAAAGTTCCAGAAATATATAAAAACAAGCCGTAAGATATTAGCTTTAGAACAATAATTGTCTCTCTACTTTAGAAATTGTTTCTTTTACTGCTTGTTTTATCTAATATCTAAACATTGCATGTTGTGTCTTTTTTGTTTTATTATTAACATAGAAGACTTAAATCTCTCAAGAATTCTCAAGAAAACTTAAAAAAGATAAAACGCAGATAAAATAAAGCCTTGATATATAAATATATATACATATTATATCTAGTATATATGTTCTATCTATTTAATGGTACGGGATTTTTTCTGATTGTGTTTTTTTTACAGCATAATTTGTTATATTATTAGAATTTTTTAAGCAAACAATATAAAAACAAGATAAAGCAACAATTCGTATATCTTTCACCGTATATTTAATTTTATCGATAATTTTATAATTAATTTTTCTACGCTTATAGAAAAATATAAAATAGTAATTAATTTTGAATTTTTGTTTGAATACACCAATATATCATATACTAAGTAGACGCTGCAGAACAGTAGTTTCTCCATTAACCTCAGTTAACTCAGTCTTTTATAATATATACATATGTACAAGAGCGCCAAAAGTGTTGATATATGAGACATAGACATTTTCACGTGTCATCTGCATTAATTGGCTTAATTGTTACAAATTTGTTGACCACACGTTATTCAAGGGAATATTACTTGTTTGATATCTTACAATATCTTATATCATGACACAACTATTTAAAGACTTCAAAGTTTTTAAATTAATCGTGTGGTTATGAGATACGAGTTTACATATAATAAGATCTGAATTAATTAAACTGATTACGCGTTTATCACACAAATATCTTAGATATATTTAATATTTTAAACATATTTAACTTGATTCTTTTCACTGAAGGGCGCCCACAAAGTAAATTGTACGACACAATTTATTGTTACGTTTTGTGCCGCCCATTTGTTTCCTGTGTCTTTTATTGTTAATGAATACAGCTTAAAAAAAATTTATTCGTGAATAATTTCTATCTTTCCAGTTGTCTAATCTAAATGACTACATATAGTTTTATGCACACATATCTTTCTGCTGCACAATTACAGCAATTCACAATGTATGTTTATGTGTATATTTAAAATTATTGCATATATATTTGTGTGTGTATGTGTGTATAGCAAATATATACACTCGATACTCGTTGCTTCTAGATCTGTGTTATCTGCAACAGATAATCATTATATTATATCCGATCGAGTAATAGTTAAACGCAAGAGTCGCATAGTAGTGTATATGCAAAAATGTACTTTTTACCATCTGCATTTCTTTATTTTACCTGTAAATGATAATATTGATCAACATGTATATATACAGTCAAACCTCGATAACTCGAACCTCTATAACTTAAAAATCTCTATAAGACGAAAATTTTGTTCATGTCCTTCCGCTCCGCGAAAAGGAAAAAAGCTCTTCGATAGGTCGAAACCTCTACAATTCAAAGATTTTAGCTCTTCGCTTGAGATTCGAGTTATCGAGATTCAACTGTACATGTATTTTTTATTGACAATTGCTTTATTATTATTTACTCTGTCATTTTATATATACATTGATCTCATTTTTTATTATACTATACATACTTTATAATTTTGTTGTTGTAAATATAATAAGCAATAGAAAACCTCCGTTTTATGTATATAGAAAAAATAACATAAAAATTCTGATTTAAAAAAAAAACTTAATTGTTTTTTCTCATTTATAATTTTTTTATATTTATCATTTATATATAATCAAATAATCGCAATATAATTTATATAGTTTACATGAAATATATACATATTTGTAAAATATCATTATATACGTGATATATTTTATACTTTGCTTCATACTTAAAAAATCAAAGATTATCTTTTAAGAAATACACTTGAGATATGTATTTTTATTACACAAGAATATCACTAAAAACATTTTAAATCAAGTGTATTGTTTTTGTTCGTTATCTTTCAGATAAAAGTCTCAGATAAAAAGTACACGATGAAATTATCACGGGTATTTGAATGATAAACTCGATATATAATAAGTATCATATCTCCCCAATAATGAACTTAAACGCAAGCGACTTGTCTTATTGTTAGATACGCTGTGGTAACGTCAGTAACGTGCGAGAGTGGAAAGTGAGCGAAGATCGCAGCTGTATGTATCACGACGCGAGATTAGCTCGTTCAAAAATGTGGTCGTTGATGATCGTGACAGCCTTGGCATTGAGTAGTGTTACAGCGGAGACAATAAACCTACCAAATAACGTATGTAAACACAACATGTAGCAATCAATTTCTAGATTATACATTTTTACAAATTTGCAAATTTTTGTAATGTTTTTCCATACAGTTTCTTATCAAAACGATTGTTTTCCATTTATAAACTTCTGCATGTTGTTATTAATATTGAAACTTAAATTAATCTATGAATTTTCACAATCTCTTTGCAAGAATATTTAAAAATCATATATAGCGAGATAAAACATTTATTGAATATTTTTTTTAAACGAGAAAGAAAGAAAGAGAGAGAGAAAGAAAGAGAGAATGTTAAATAGAGATTTCTTTATTTAATAAAACAAAATAGATATAAAATCTACAAGTATATATTTGCATAAACTTGTAAACTTCTTGCTTGCAAGTCGTAAAGTTGATGTAAATTGATTCTACCGATTGATGATTGACCTCGACCTCGTACTCTAGATTAAAATATTGATGGAATGGAAAGCTAAAACGTTACTTGAATTTAGAACTGTTTTTTACATGGACGCATATAAAGCACGATCTACTCATAAATTGAAAAAAAAACCGAAAGACTTTTAAATATTATATATATTTATTTATAATATTCTATAAAAAATTTTCAAAACTTAAGTTGCTTGTAGATAAGAAAAAAATAACATTCAATACTTAAATATTTAAATATTATATCACATACTTTTTTTGCTAAAAGCTACATATTTTGGGTGAGTATATACATATATAATACAAATATATATACATGTATTCTTATTGTATAGTTATAATTGTCAACATTATAATTATTATCATTTTTTCCAAAGTATTTTTTAACAAAAACATTTGCAGAATACCAACTGGCAATACAGTTTTGAAGTGGATTACGAAAACAATCAGTTTTTATTAGATGGGAAACCTTTCCGATATGTTTCTGGTAGTTTTCATTACTTTCGGGCACCGAGACAATATTGGAGGGATCGTTTAAAAAAAATACGAGCTGCAGGGCTTAATGCTGTTTCCACGTATGCGAAATTGTGTTTGCCTTTATTTAATATTTTAAATTCTTTTAATATATTTAATTACAGTTTTTTTGGCAATTTATGTAACATTTGCTTATACACATCATACACATATATATAACAAGAGATAAATATATATACACACACACATGTATATATATATATAAAACAATAGTTTAGAATAAATGCAAGATATTGTCTAAGAATATTCTTTTGTATAGTTACGTCGAATGGAGCCTACACGAACCAGAACCAGGTCAATTTAACTGGGTCGGCGATGCAGATCTAGTAGAATTCTTAAATATTGCGCAAGAAGAAGATTTGCTTGTATTGTTGCGACCGGGACCGTATATTTGCGCGGAAAGAGATTTGGTAAAAAAATACACTAAGTGTTTGGTGTAGAGTCAGCATAAGTAATAATACAACTTGTTCACTTATTCTTACTAATTTTTTTATATCTAAAGTTTAATAACTTAAAACTTGCCTGTATTTTTTTTACACGTACTTAAAAGAAAAAGTTATTATGAGAAAAAAACAAAAAAAAAGTTATTATGTAATATTACCTATATATATGTATTATTATTTACAATTATATGTAATATATGTAGAAAAACAATATATATATATTTGATTCTTAGGGTGGTTTACCATACTGGTTGCTTCGTGAGGTGCCAAATATAAGATTACGTACCAAAGACGCAGGTGAGATATAATTTTTTAGTATGATTTTCTAAACAATAATTTTCACTTATAAGTTAATAGTTAGTTGATGGAAATGTAGGAGAAAATAAGTTCTTTTTTTTCGATACTTTTTTTACTAGCGCTGTGTTAGGTCGCGCTTGCGTGAACAGATGCGCACACAATGTGAGAGCGTGCTACACGTACGTTGTGAAAAGAAACAAATATATGTAGAAAGGAAACAAATACACACACTAGTGTTAGTGAAAATATAGGTAGTGGAGAAATACACTTACAAACTACTAGTTTACAAGCGGAAACTCAACATACTCTGTATCTATCTCTCGGTTTTTATGAAACGTTCTAATAAGCATAAGCATATTTTTACTTAAGAAAATAAAATAAAGATTTTACAATAACAAAATATTTATTCTAAATAGTAAAAGCTTTTCAATATTATTATATACAATAGTATACTTTGTTTTCACAGAAATTATTTGATATAAAATCGACTTGTCATATCTAATGATCTAATACTTCCACGATAAAAGATACAAGAGAACCTTTCTACTTTCTTTAATTGTATTTCCTATCCTTTACTACGCCTCCTATACTTTATTATATTTTAATTGTATGTAATACATTAACTAACATTATTCAAATTTAATTTTAATTATTTTTATATTGTCGTAGCTTTTATAAGATATGCTACATCGTATCTGAATCAGGTGTTAGAAAAAGTAAAATCACTTTTAAGAGGCAATGGGGGACCAATAATTATGGTTCAGGTAACTGCTTATATAAAAGATATTGTTATTATACATTTAATACTACTTAGTATTAAATATACATATTTTATTATTCTTACGCATTGATTATATTAATTTCTGTCTTGTTTCATTGTTATTTTATATGCGATAACATAGATAGAAAACGAATATGGAAGTTATAATGCTTGCGACACGGAATACACGGACATGTTAAAAGATATTTTTGTTGAAAAAATCGGCAATAAGGCTCTTCTTTATACTACTGACGGTGCATCCGCGTCTCTACTTCGTTGCGGTTTTGTACCCGGTGCGTACGCCACCGTCGACTTTGGAACATCTGTTAACGTGACAAACAGTTTCCAGTCCATGCGTCTTTATCAGCCTAGAGTAAGCGATATCACTGTCCACAAATCCTTAAGACATTAGCATATTTCATCACTTTGAGACATTTTTAGGGTCCACTAGTGAATTCTGAATTTTATCCAGGATGGTTAACGCACTGGGGAGAATCCTTTCAAAGAGTAAAAACCGAAGCTATTACTAAGACATTGAAGGAAATGCTTGATTTAGGCGCTTCTGTTAATTTTTACATGTTCTATGGCGGTACAAATTTCGGCTTTACTTCTGGTTAGTACATAAAAACAAAATTTGTTTTGATTAGCAAGAACAACTAATCATTTCGAGTGTAATAATTATTTTGAGACAGGTGCTAATGGCGGTGCAAATGCATATAATCCGCAGTTGACTTCTTATGATTATGACGCTCCTTTGACCGAAGCGGGAGATCCGACAGATAAATACTTTGCTATAAGAGATGTTATTAGTTACGTATGTGTTTTTGTGATAATATACATATACGTACCTTTGGTCTTAATTTTCTTTTTTACTTTAATAGTTATCTAAGAGAAAGTAAAATATGTATTACTATAAGTATTTCTATTCTAAATAAGTTAGATTTACATATTAAAATTGCAGTATCTACCATTGCCAAACATGTCTCTTCCAACCGCATCTCCGAAAGGCAATTACGGTCCAATATCATTAGAACCGATTCAAAAATTGCTCGACCGTCTATCACCATTTGTGGTCATCCGAGTAACTAATGATTATCCCGTAACCTTCGAGGCTCTTTCTGTGAATCAAGGTTTTGTACTTTATGAGACGCAATTATCTTCTTCTATTTCGGATCCAGCTATATTGCGAGCAATAACAAAAGACAGAGCGCTGGTTTACGTAGACGATCGATTATGTGGCACTCTGAGTCGCATTGATAAGATATTTACTCTGCCTCTGGAGAATCCTTACGGTCGTCGTTTGAGTCTATTAGTGGAAAATCAAGGACGTCTAAACTTTGGCAATGAAATTCACGATTTTAAGGTATCGTATATTTTAATTGAAATAATATTTTCTTAATAAAACACAAATTATTTGCAGCTATTTTTTATTATTGAACATTTTGAAATAATTAAACTTTTTCTTGCTATATAGGGTATATCGAACGTAACAATCAACGGAATTTCGTTGTACAACTGGAATATAACAGGATATGTTTTTTCTAATATGTCCCCACTTCGCAACTTGACGAGCATAGAAATTAATAGCGGGACTTTAAACAATGGTCCGGTATTCTTGCGAGGACGGTTCACGATCAGTGGGCAACCGTTAGACACATATCTAGATACAACTGGATGGGGAAAGGGAGTAGCTTTTATAAATGGTCATAATCTCGGTAGATATTGGCCGTTGGTCGGTCCGCAAATCACTTTGTATGTACCAGCTCCTTATCTTCGTACGGGCGAGAATGAATTAATTATATTAGAACTAGAATATGTATCGCAGATGAGAAAAATGAGATTTCAGTCTGTACCTAACTTGGGATTTGCAACACAGAATTTACATGATCCAATGGTTAAAAATAATTAACTTTTCTTAATTTATGTACAAGCGGTCTCAAAGACAACAATATAAAATTAACAAAATATTATTATATGTGTTTTTATACTCATTACATAATGTCATTACAAAAATTCTGTTTAACATAATATCATCTAGTTATATATTTGCTTCTGCATCATTCTAAGCTAGTCTGGTCTGGTTTTTTAGTAATCCAGAAAAAGTATATTTTTATTTATATCTTTATTTTATTTTTGTCCGTCAAGAATTTTATTGTTTCGAGATAATGTATTATTATCTGGACAAGACGTGAAAGAATCCAAGAATATTTAGTTTTCATGCCGCAATAATCGATCAGCTCCGATAATGTCGCGACGCTACACAGCAGATATACATATACACACGTATACATTGTCATCTACGGTCGATGATGAACCGATTTGTAAAGATCCTGCAGAGCTATTCAACGGCTTTAATATCCTGCGCTTTGACAAATGAGGGATCCACACGGTAGGACGTCCGATGTGTACTTCGATGCCACACGACGAATTATCTCACCACTGCTTCGTATCATTCACAAGCGAATGCTGTGGACAATAATGAATATGGTGACGAAGCATATTGGCTACCTGCTTCATAAACTTTATTCGTACGATAAAGTCCATCATCTTTGCGATCAAATAAGCGACTATACTTAGGTAGTTCGTACATATTGCGCGCGTGTTCTCTTGCATTATTGTAAGAACTACAAAACAAGGAGAAGTAAAGAATGTTAAATATTTTAATAAATATTTTATAACTTTATACTTTAACTCTTTGTTATTTTTTTTTTATTTTTGCCATTTCTATCCAGAAAGTTCGTGTGAATTCGGTTAGTTTTGCATAGTCATAAAGGAATCGCGCAGTTACAAAAGAATAGAAGAAAACGATAAAAAATAGAGACAAAGAGAGAGAGAGAAAGAAAGTAAGAGAAAGAGTGATTAGAACCTACTTTAAACAAATAATATTTAACAGGATGTTTTATACACTTTATGTATAAAAATTGATAAGTTATAGCTTTTTTGCACTAATCTTCATGTAAACAACATGTTTTGTTGAGACGTGTTGTATATGTAATTTAATCAAAGTATTGTGTATTTATCCATATCATATACAACGTTTAAACTCCGCCCTGTGCAAAAACACCGCCCGTCTTTAGCACATGCGCTACAAGGTTGCGGTCGTAGCTGCACCACTTCTTACTTCAAATCACAAGTTTAATCTGTTCGAGGTGGTAAAGTGCTACGCATGTGAAAGAAGAGTAATAATTCGATACAGAAAAGTCGTTTGTCTGTCTCTCGTATAAAAGTACTATTTGCCTAGTTTGGCAGATTATCGGAAACACAAACTTATCATGTCCGGTAAATATATAATAATAAAATGTATTTAAACAATTATTAGATATTTTATATTTTTTATGTGTAATATACGGTTTTGATAAAAATACGATGCGTAGAGTTTTTAATAAGACGTTTAAAAATTAATTAAAAAGTAAAAACAAATATATATACATGTTACAAAATCAATTTAAATAAAAAATTAAGTTTTGTTGTGTCAGTTGTATAGATGTTTGTCATAATATTTATTATTGTAAAATTATTTTATAATTTAATCAGTTGAATAAATATGCCAATAGTATGGAACGTAACGCAGAATACGCCGTTGGATTTAAGTAGACATGGAACTGCATGGAAAAATGATATTGTTAATACGTTTAAAATTCAACGACATCTTCCTTGTCAAACATGCGGTAAAAGTTTTGATAGACCTTCTCTTTTGAAAAGACATTTACGAACGCATACAGGTAAATATATATCCAAGACAAATAAATCTAATATAATAATTATAAACCTGTGTGTCACAAACTTTATGCAAATGTGTACAAAAAATTATATGTAAAAAAAAGTAGTTTTCTTCTATAATGTGTTTGCAAATAGTAAAAAATCTATTACATTAAAAAATCATTACATCGTTACATCATTCTAAAATATTAAAAACTCTATTACAGGAGAGAAACCACATGGCTGCACAATATGCGGCAAAATGTTTAGTACGAGCAGCTCGTTAAATACTCATATTAGAATTCATACCGGTGAACGTCCTCACGAATGTCCAATGTGTGGAAAGCGTTTTACCGCTTCTTCGAATTTGTATTATCATCGTATGACGCATTACAAGGTTCTTCTTCTTGACATTAATTAAAATATTTTTGTGCATTAGTAGTGTACATGAAAAATAAAAAAAGACGACAATTTTAATAAAATTAAGAAAAAGATACAAATTGCAAAGTGAAAAATATGTACTGATTTTCAAATATGTATCGAAACGCAGGAAAAGCCACACAAGTGTAATGAATGTGGACGGTCTTTTCCGACTCCTGGTGATTTGAGGGCTCATGGATACTCTCATACTGGTAACTGGCCATTTCGCTGCCCCGTCTGTAACAGAGGATTCTGTAAACTTGGTGTTTTACATCATCATATAAAATCACACGGTAAACAAACTATTATGTATTAGAAAAAAAAACACTTCTTATTGTTTGTTGTATATACAATTTTTACAGATGATCGTTCTTACTGTAATATTTATGACCAGAAGCTTCTTATCAATAATTTACGAATTCACGAGTATTTGCAGAGTTTATATATGTCGAATAACAACGTAGCTGATTACGCGAGTATACGCAGTGATATTTCAAGAGTTGAGATTGTTAAGTTTGAAAGTCTCAGCAATAATTACACGCAACTAAACTCACCGACTATGTACCCATGGCATTTGTGGGTGCCATTGCAGTTCAAAAATTAATTTAATAATAATATATTATGTATATGAAATTTCCCAAATGTATGCATGTATAAATACAGAATGTTTTAAAACTTTATAAAATAGGATACGTATATCATATCGTATAATATATATGTACGTATTCATAATATTATTTTCTATTTTTTGATTTTTTTGTAGTAAAACAAATTTTTTCCACAATTTACAAGTGTATTTATATGATAATTTATAATAAATAAATAATTTAACTGTGAGTACAAATTTATTTTTTAATAAAGAAATAATAAAAAGAAGACGCAATAATATGCTTACGTTTTTATAGATTGCACTTAAAGTATTTCTCTTCAAAAACATTGAAAAATCATATTTCGTAAAGTTTCGAGTAGTTCTTTGAACTGCGCATGCACGAATTTCACAGTAGGGAATTTCCACTTGCCGTTCGTAACGCTCGTGGAATCATTTCATCCTTATTTTTCATCGAAAGTTAAACAAAGATTGGTAACGCTCACAAATGTTGCGAACAGCAAGTGGAACTTATCTAAAGAAAGATGTTCCATATTGCGCATAATAACGGAGGTTTATAATCTCAACCAATCAGAAATTGAGCTCATTTGCAGCGCGCAATATAAACATGAAATAAAAAGAATAAGTAAATTTCAAACGTGACAGGCAGTTGGAACTAAAAACACGGGTGTTGTTGTGCGATATGTGATGGAAATATTATTTATTCATGTATATAAATGAAACATAATAACGTTTTGACCTTCAGTTTAGGTCTTTATCAAATTAATTATGTGCTGTTTAACAAACTTCGTACAATACAATGATGATAAGTAAGATGTTACAATAAGTCGTATCGCAAACAAGAGCTGTACATGACTAAAGTCATATGTATATATATATATGTATATACCGTAATCACGTGACCGTAGTCAGTAACAGCGCCGCGATCGCACGGCCGAAGTCAGCGACTCTACCGCAGTCGCGCGACTGAGGTCATTAACCCCGTCGCGGTCGCGCGAGTGCGATCCCGGCGAGTGACCCCGCCCCCACCAAGGCTGCGCGCGCGCGGTCAGTGACCCCTCCCCCACCAAGACCGCGCGCCCGAGGTCAGTGCCCCGCCAAGGCCGCGCGGCTGAGGTTAGTGTCCTGACAAGGCCGCGCGGCCGAAGTCAATGACCCCGCCAAGGCCGCACGGCCGAGGTCAGTGACATTACTGTAGTATGTATATAATACATATAATACAATATAAAGTATAATATTATAAATATAAATATAATAAATTATATGTATAATATGTATTATTTAATGTTATATATAATAGAAATTACAGTCACGTTATTTTCACGTGTTGTTTTTCTACTCTTTCCTGTTACATGACTTTTTACGCTTTTAATTTTCTCTACATATACGACGAACTGTCTCAAATCCCTTTTTTAATATAGGATAATTGTAGTTAATTTATCAAAAATTAGACACTCCGAACTGAAGATATTGCCGTGAAACTATACATATATGTTTATTGTGTATATGTGTATGTGCAAATGAGCTCAAAACTTGATTGGCTCACAGATTTCCACCACGTTCAGTCTACTGCGCTGCGCATCCGTCGGAATGGGACATCTTTCTTTTTACACCATGATAATAACCAAACTTGAGTTTGAGGTTTGAGATACACGTGTGCTTATTATAAATTTTTATAAACAGAACTTTTGATGAGAAAATACTTATATAAGACTTATATAAGACTTATATAAGAAAACAGTAGAAAATATGTTAACAACGAAAGTATTTTTTAGAAGAACAAAAGGAGGAAATATATTTAAGGTAAACCTGTTGATTAGGTTATAACTTTGGTTTTGTATATTATATTCTACTAATACATATGTTCGATTAATTTTATATATGCGTAAACTAATATTTATATAATCTTATATTTTAAATTTTAAGATCAAGTTTATTCAAGTTATTAAATATAACCTATTCAGCTACACAAATATTGAATAAAAAGTTTTACACTCAAATATATATAGTTATTAACTTATCATAAGTACATAAACACTGCTATTATTTCTTCAAAACTTATGTTAAGTTCTGTTTAAATTTTATTTATTAGACTGTCAGAGAACATTATCTGAGAGATGATATTTACTGTGGTTTTAAATCATGTGTGAAATGTAAGGCAAGGCCTCTAGATATGATATTGGATGAAGAAAGGAGTGATATAAAATCTTCTTTAATTCAAGATTCATATTTACTTGTACTTGATACAAATATAATTCTGGATCAAGTAAGTACTTATATATAGGCTGATACTGATAGTCAAAACTATATTGAAGATCATCTTAAGTTTATCTGAAGATGCTGTATAGATCTCATTGGCTATAGAGCATCTGAAGATGAATTTAAGACAAATATACCTGCTATAATGCATATTTTATAATCGTTCTTTTTTTATATTGAACACTAGTTTTTTCTGTTAGATTATCTAAACAAATTTAAATGTTGATTTCCAGATAGATGTATTGGAAGAAGATGTTATCACTAATGTAATTATTTTACAAACTGTATTAGAAGAAGTCCGGCATAGAAGTTCTGCTGTATATAAAAAGTTGAAGAATATTATAGGAGATCCAAAACGAAAGTTTTTTGTGTTTATTAATGAACATCATCGGTATGTGCAATATGTATGTGTATGTGCTATTCAGAAGAAAATAACAATAGAACCTTGTTAACTTATTATTAACAGTGTTGTGTCACATACTTCCTGTTACTATTTATAAACTCCTATTTATTAACTTTCCTATTTTTTCATTTAATACGCACTTGTCATTGAATTACATGATCAGAATGAAAATAGCTTGACTATTAAACTATTGTTAAAAAATAGGAATGGCCAGGGAAATAATGACAATAAAGACTGTTTTTAAAAAAATCGGTTTAGTGGAGTTGACAATAAGGAGATTTTACTTGTATTTGATTTGTGTTGTTTTTATTTTGTAAACTAAGCAAGCTAATTTTCCAAAGAAATATTTATATATTTTCTATTAACAAATATATTTTATTATTTCATGTATATTATTTCTCATTAGACAAACTTATATCGAAAGAGAACCAGGAGAAAAGATAAATGATCGTAACGACAGAGTGATACGAGTTTCAGTTAAGTGGTACAATAGCCATTTGAACTCCAGTGGGTGCAACATTACGATTGTTTTGCTAACAGATGATGCAGAAAATAAAAGACATGCAATCGAAGATGGAATATTTGTTCTGTCAAGTAAGATATGTCACATGCATAAGTCTCTTAATTGAGTTATTTTATCTTTTTTATAAATAAAAAACTAAGATAAATGACATTTTTTTACAGTGAAAGATTATATTGCATCGTTGGAAAATTCGAGTTATCTACTGGATAAAGTATGCAAACGTTCTTATACCTTAGATACTCAAAGTCTAGATTTGTTTCCTTGTCATCTGACACCTGCAGAAGTACACAGTGGCATATCATCCGGCAGATTGTTACAAGGTACATTCTTAGCTTCGAGAGAAAATTTTCTCGAGGGGAATGTGAACGTTGAAGGAAAAGACAAGCCTGTAAGATTTATATAACTACTATCTAATATTTTTACATGTATTATATGTATTGGATATATAATAATATTGCATGTATATTAATATTATATTTTAAGAAAACTTTTAAGAAAAGAGTCATTAATAAATTTGTTTCTAGATATTTGTGCAAGGACGAACCAATCTTAACAGAGCGGTTGATGGTGATATAGTTGCGGTTGAGATCTTGCCTGACGATCAATGGTCATCACCTAGTGAAATCGTTCTGCAAGACGAAGAAGAAGCAGATGTCGATGATGTTACGGAAGATGAAAAGGTGCTCTCTAAAAAGAGTTCATCAAAAATGGAAGATAAAATACCAACAGGCAAAATAGTTGGTATTATTAGACGGAAATGGAGACAATATTGTGGAATATTGAAGCCGAGTGCAATCAAAGGAGTAAGAATATTTATTATACTGAATCATTTAAAGTAATTTTTTTATCTATCATGTATATATCTTTTTTTTTTGTTTATTTATTACATAGAATGTAAGACATCTGTTTGTGCCGGCTGAAAGAAAAATTCCCAAGATAAGAATAGAAACTAGACAAGCCGAAATATTGAGCAAGCAAAGAATTATTGTTGCACTGGATTCATGGCCACGCAACTCGAGATACCCGCTTGGTCATTTTGTACGAGCACTTGGTAATATAGGTGACAAAGAGACAGAAAATGAAGTATTACTCTTAGAACATGATGTTCCACACAGCCGTTTCTCTGATGCTGTTCTTAGCTTTCTTCCAAAGCTACCATGGATAATTACAGAAGCGGTAAATATGTAAACTTTATTCAAAAAATTACTGAAGTAACTGAATTAATGAACATATTTGAATTATATAGTAACTACTACAAAATATCGAATTCTGCCATATAATTATGCAAATAATATAGCTTTGTACCGAAAAAATAAACAATTATTTAATACATTTGTTATCTATAGGATATTGCACAGAGAGAAGATCTTCGACATCTAGATATCTGTTCTGTGGATCCACCAGGTTGTACTGATATCGACGATGCATTACATTGCAGAAAGTTACCTGACGGCAATTTTGAAGTTGGCGTGCATATAGCAGACGTGTCTCACTTTATAAGACCAGGAACTGCATTGGACAAAGAAGCAGCTTTACGTGCTACCACCGTATATCTTGTTGATAAGCGAATCGATATGGTTCCAGGTAAAATAGAAACACTTTGTTTTAAATAATATTTTAAATAGTTGTGTGTGCCATTTTAGATATGCCATGCCAAATGTTTCTTATTTTAGAGTTACTCAGTTCAAATCTTTGTTCTTTGCGAGATAAGGAAGAAAGATTTGCATTTTCTTGCATATGGGAACTTGATTCTCATACAAATATAATCAGCACAAAATTCTGCAAATCTATAATCTGTTCGCGTCAAGCTATGACATATGAAGAAGCTCAATTAAAAATTGATGACGCCACTCAACAAGATGCTATTGCAGTATCATTAAGAGAATTAAATAAATTAGCAAAAAAATTAAAAAAAAGACGCTTCGAAAATGGGTACGTATTCATTCTGATTGTATAATGTTAAATTAAATCATATAATGCAAATTTTATCTTTTAAATTTAGTTTTTATATTATATAATTAGAGGAACTTTTGTGTTATATATATAATTACTTTTATATAAAAAAAATATCTTAGAGTTTGGCCAAATATTTTATATTTTTTAAAATCTCTTTGGCAGAGCCTTAAGTTTAGCATCACCAGAAATACGTTTCCAAGTAGATAGCGAAACGCATGATCCTATTGACGTAGAAGCAAAGAAACTAAAAGAAACAAATTCTATGGTTGAGGAATTTATGTTGCTCGCAAATATAAGTGTTGCTGAAAAAATAGTGGCAGAATTTCCAGAATGTGCCATGCTAAGAAGACATCCTGAACCACCACAAAGTAATTTTGAACCATTGATTAAAGCTGCAAAAAATCAGGTATATTATTAAACTTAGTTTTTTTTACTTTAGAATTATTATTCCGAAGAGTTAGTGCTCTATGTATTTATCGTTATAATAGCGATGATTATAATATTTTATAATACTGTATATTATAGGGTTTTATTATTAATACAAATAGTGGTAAAGAGCTGGCGCAATCATTGAATGAAGCCAATAAAGAATCGAATCCTTATTTTAATACAATGTTGAGAATATTAGCTACACGATGTATGATGCAAGCAGTATATTTTATTAGTGGTATGCATCAACAAGAAGAATTCAAACACTATGGATTGGCATGTCCTATTTACACGCATTTCACCTCTCCCATTCGAAGGTAAATTGTCTGAACGCGTTAGACGAAATATTATTTAATAATTACTTCCTAACGGGTTTTCTATTATTATATCTTATGATTTTATAGATATGCGGATATAATTGTTCATCGATTATTAGCCGTGTGTATAGGTGCTGATGCAACTTATCCTGAATTACTGGATAAAAAAAAAAACCATTTGCTATGTCAAAACTTAAATTATCGGAATCGAATGGCACAATATGCTGGTCGAGCTTCAGTCGCACTTCATACACATGTTCGATATTATCTTTATTATAAAATTATTATTTTATATTAATATTTAAAAAATTTTTTTTATTAAAACACTATATTGATATTTGATGCTTTTTCAACACTTGCGTATTTAATGTTATTACAAGAACTTGAGTTTTTTTCTTAACAATTGTCTTGTTTTTGTTTTTAGCTGTATTTTCGTGATAAAGTTCAAGACGAGGAAGGATACATTCTTTTTGTACGAAAAAATGCTTTACAAATACTCATACCAAAGTATGGTTTAGAAGGGACGTTATATTTAAATCCCACTTCATCTATTACATTCACGTACAATTCAGAAGATCAATCTCAAACCTGTGGAGACATTGTATTTCGCGCATTTGATCCTATTATTGTACAATTAAGTCTGGACAGATCTAATGTACAACATGAAAAGTTAATTTTTAAACTTGTAAAACCGGAGGTAAGTAGAATTTCACGAAAGAAAGGAGGTCGTCTTGATATATGTATACGAAGAAAAGAATTTGTACATTTTTTGTGATAAACTATTAAATTAGATCTCTGATTAGATTTCAGATTTTAGCGTATCTCCGTTAAATGTAGAAGCTAATACCAGTAAAACCGATTTTACGAAGGAAACATTAAAACGAAGAGCGGAAGAACAACAAGTATCAAGTAATATTCATAATAAAAAAGGAAAGAAAAAGAAGAAAAAGAAAAATTAAGGACACTTCTCTTGATATTTTTTTCTAGTATATGATGTGGATTATAATAAAAACACATAAAGTGTATAAAACTTTATGTATTATTTATGTATTATTTGTGTGGACTAATTAACATTAGTCGCTTACATTAGTCTTTATAACAAGACAAAAATAAGTTGTTAGTATTGTTCAGCAATATATTCCCACAGGAAACTAATATAATTACATAGACATTTTTATAATGTCCCATCATTTGTCTCTCGTTGAATTATCATTAAAATTTTTTTTCACAAGAAATTTATATTTAACAGTTAATCACTACATAGTACAGCGCATCAGTAGACGTCAAGAATAAGGAAATGATTCTAAAAAGTATCTTTTAATAATAACTAAAATTATACATGTTTGTATTTTCTGTGACGTGTACTATTTTGTATAAATAAAATTAAAAGCTAGAATTTTTTATAATTAATTTATGAAAAGTTTGACAACGGTGAGTAAAACAAAGTTGTTGAATGAGACAAAAGTGAGTTATTATTTTAAATCGAAGAACATTAAAATACACAAAGACAAAAAATTAACTAAAACAAATAATTTATATTTTCATAAGATCATCAAATATAAATAAATATCTTAGTACATTTTACTACGTAAGAAAAATTAAAAGTACCGACAGAAAACAATATAAAAATAAACTGAGAGATTATTCTCTTATATACATTAATATACTAAAATAATGATAATTTTGACTTATGGATAAATACGCTGCAAAAATACGCTGACTGATATGATCTTACTTCTCAGATCATTACTATTATATAAAACTAATTACTATTATATAAAACAGGTTTGATGTAAAAAAAAGTTTACTTTAAAAAAGAATTCAATTTAGAAGTATGATTTATCAAATAACTAATAATAACGAGTTTTTACGCTGTACCTATGCAAATTAATGAATTGTTTTTTTTATGATAATTCAATGAAAGAATACTTGAGCAACATGTTTGATAGACTTGTGGTGCTTCTGTTTGAGACATCGCACTCGACTGACCTCTGAAAAGATCAAATATAACTTCTAATAGTAATAATATGATAAATGTAAAATAAATAAGTAAAAGTTAAGAAAAACTGACAATTTTGCATACCCGTTTAAAGAAGCAATAAAAGTTTTCGTAGGCCATAACCGCACAATTCCATCTATGCTTGCACTGGCGATATATTGGCCATCTAAACTCCAGTCCATATTCATGACTGTATCTTTGTGACCTTTCAGTTCAGTTAGTAATGCATTAGATGCTAAATCCCATATTGATATAGACTTATCATCACCTAACAACCATTATTTCCCATAAGAAACAATACAGAAAAAAACTTAAATATTAAGTTTTTTTTATGCATTTACCTGCAGCAGCTAGATATTTTCCATCTGGACTAAAAGCTAAAGCGTAAATGGTCGACTGCGCTCCAACATATACTCGTACTAAATTTCCATCATCTTTGGCCCATAACCGTACAGTTTTGTCGGCGGAACCGGTCGCTAAGTATCGAGCATTTGGATGAAACTTAATGCACTAAAATATATATAAAATAAAAGAATGTGAATACGCAAATACATCACATCGCGTTATATTACATATGTAAATAAATACACATACATAATAAAACGAATAAGAGAAACATACATTTATATCTAAAAAATGACCGGCGAATATTCTCAAAGGAAATGTCCTATCTAATGACCACAATTTGGCAGTTCTGTCATGTGAACCTGTAGCGGTATATAAATCGAATGTGCTAGTATCCATACACCATATTGGATAATTATGACCACTACATAAGAAAAACATTCACATGTATTACATACATTTATACATATTTCATAAGAAAGAGAAATCGAGCCAAAGAGCCTATAGGCTTTGATTTTCTCCTCGTTATAATTTGTTCTTCGAGCCGTTGCTATAATATTAATTGGACCGTTTATTTTGAAAGTGGTGTAAGTCCATTTTTGAAAAAAAATGAGATATCACGTAATTCATAATTCATAATTGACAGATATGTTAACCTATAAGTTTCTCGAAACAAAAGAAAAATGGACTTACACCACTTACAAAATAAACGGTCCAATTATATATATTTCACATATATCTTAAAAATTTTCTTAACAAGTTTTTGTATGAATTCTGCTTTGAGAAAGTATTGTGAATTTTAAAGTGTTTCAAGTTATGTAATAACTAATTTTCACATGATTTAAATAAAAACAAATTATGTAAAAGCATGAAAATTGTTATTAATAATAATAAAAAGAAAATTGTAATTAATAATAATAACTTACTTATACACTGCTGCACATGAATAATCATTGAGTCTCCATGCTCTCATATCTCTATCACTTGATACAGAAAGAAGAATCTCTGCCTGTGGAATAAATCTTAAATCGTGTACAACATCCGTATGTCCTCTTAATATTATTGCTCCTCCTTCATTTCTTCTGTTATAGTAAAATTATCTCTTATAACATAACTAGCTTGATGTAAATAAAAAAATATGACAAAATTAATTGTAACTCACGTTATGTTTTCTTGCTCTTCACAGTTAAACAACTGCGATATATTACAGGATAATGGTACAAACGATTGTTTATTGTTTGGTTGGACTAGAACTGTGTCACCTATACCCCACAAACGTATTTCAGCTGTGCTAAATCCCACAGCTAATTTGTCCATTTTAGGTGCAATAACACCACAACTTGCACTACAATAGGAAATAAATGATATATATATATACATATATGTAAATATAAAACAATTTATACTCACTTTTCTATAGCATTCTTTACAGTAAACAATTTTATTGGATGATGAGTATTATTTCGCATTAACCGTATAGCTTCCTGTAATTCTCTCATTTCACGATCAACACCAATACCAGATGGCTGTTCCACATGACCATTAATAGTAGTTTCATAACAGTTTTCCTCATAAACTTCACCATCTATTTGAGAATTGTTTGCTTTTGTAATTATTGCAACATGTCTATTTAGAATCTATTAAAAAAATGCAAATAATTAATTATTTGTATGATTTCTAAGTAAACTTAGTATTGATTTGAATCTACAGGATATGAAAGATCAGGAAAACCTTTAAAATCGGAGATATCTTCATTAAAAAATACGTTTTTCGCAATATTTTAATAGTTAGAGGGATATTCGAGGTCTCTCTTATATACATGATGCAAAATAGCATCCTATATGAACTTAAGAATTAAAATTTCAATTTTAAACTCATGTGTAAAAATTTATACGACCATATATATATATATATACTATAAAATACGCAATAAACATCCAGCGTATAGCTCTCATTGACAAAAAACTTTTTAAATTTTGTTTTAAAAAACTTGTTGTGTAAAAAAGTTTTATAAACAAAAAGATACTGTTTCATAAAAAAAATTTGTTTAAACAATACTATTTTCTAAAAAAAAGATATGTATAAAAAGAGAAAACAATTAGTTTTTAGGTAAAATAGTCATTGATAGAGATTAAAATAGATTAAAATATGTAATATAGTAAAGCATGGTTTTTTTGTAGTAAAGATTATGAAATTGTATTACCTCCATTATTATTACATGTCCATATTTAGTAAGATACTGTCGTAAACAAATCTGAGCTGCCTCAGACAAATCAACCTTATATTTTCTGGTTCTGAATGCATTTACCAAAGGTCTTAATTCAATATCCTGTATTGAAAATACACTGGATAATTCTTCTAAGAAATCTTTTTCTGTGTCACTGATAAACTCATTTTGATATGTCTTCAAAAACTGAATTGCAGCCTGTCGATTACCAGAATGTAGCATCTCTAAATAAAGATGACAAAACAAAGGATATAGAAGTCCTTGCAATTCTAGTTTTATTTTTTCATTAACTATAATGTTTATCCATTTCTTCAATCTACATAGAAAGAAAAGGTTATTATTATTAGTATATTTTTTTTAATATAAAATGTATCAAAATGTTGAAAAGTAATCTTTACACTAAATAAAAATTACAACAGATTAAGAATTACACACAAAATGCTTTAACTTAGTATATTAATAATATATATTATTTTATATATTAATTATATATTATTGATAATATATAATTAACTAAATTGTTTTCTCTTGAAAAGAATTTTAAACATTACCGTTGAAAAGACTGATCTGTTGTGTTAACATCAATGGTAATGGCACTGAAAACAATCGAATTGTCGCGAGAAGTACTGCATTCTGCAGTTGCATTTAATATCATTTGATCGCTGCTCTGACTATAAGAATGATCGCTCTTACAGTACACGTCGTTATCCTACAAAATATCGCGCGATTGATACACAGTTATTGACGACTATGCAATAAAATACTCATGATTACGACTATGAAATTTGCGTGTCTACACCTGATAATGACGTCGCTTCAAATAAGATTCAACTGTTGCGCTGATCGCTTCACTTTTCAATCGTTTCATCTTCATCGAGACCCAGCAACAAATAGCTTCAACGGCGTCCAACAGCGTCTCTCATTCAGATCAACTAACCAATAACCAAACGACTCACAAAACAAACAGCACAAAAAAGTGCATGACAGTCGCAGGCATAAACGTAGTGTAACATAGACGAGCGTTTATCAACAATAGCCATTGGGAGCTTTTCAGCTACGTACACAGGCGACACTGTGCAACACACTGAACTATAATAGGCGATTTTTGGCGATCGTATGGTACATGTACCAAAGTGTACCAAACTATAATTTGAAGTCACTCGAACTATAGTTTGGTACACTTTGGTATATGTACCATACGATCGCCAAAAATCGCCTAATATGGAACGCGCCTTCCATTGTTAAAGCTGTCCGCAATAGAGAGCATCACTACTAGGATCTCTGTCTTTGTCTCGTCGTCGCTGATTGGTTGAAATTTATAGACAAAAGAACAACAAAAAGTAAAGAATGATTGCATTTAGCAGAAATCAGCGCTCAGCAATTGCTAATACGCGGTCATTCTTTACTTTTTGTTGTTCTTTTGTCTTGGACTGCACTCGTAAGCGCTGATTTCTGTTGAACGCAGTCATTCTTTACTTTTCGTTGTTCTTTTGTCTTGGACTCGTATAAATTCAACCAATCAGCGACGACGAGACAAAGACAGAGATCCTAGTTGCACCACCCATGGACATGGGCTAGCTTACGGGGCGGAAAAGCGATTCCAAAAACTCTCTTATGGGCCTGGCCGCCTCTCAGGCTTCTCTCTGGTACAAAATAGATATATTTATGTTTATTTTGCTCCGAGTGTCACTCGACAGAGGACGCCTCAAACATTTATTAAAATTCCCCGATAGGGAGGCTCGCCTTGGCACCAGATTCTGGTACCTGATTGACAGTTCGACCGAGTTGTTAGTGATCGCGAATTCGAGCTGATTTTTGAGATCTGACAAACATTCGATCTGATCGATGCGACATTAATTTCATGCTCGTTCTTCTTCACTCGTTGTTTGCCATTCGGCGAGGCTCGTCGGCGAGTAATATGCGTCTAACCTTAAAGTGACATTTGATCGAGTGACGTTCTTTGGTCATGAATTTTCACGCTCGGTTCTGATCGTCGCAAACCGCGTAAACCGAGTTCCGAGAACGTTCTCGCGAGAAAACAGATATTTTTTTTTATTCAAAAAATTCAAAGAGAAGAGATAGACGAAGAAGAAGAGGAAGAAGGGAATTCTTCGTTGAGAGATCATCTTTAATGGCCGTATACTGGACTATTTAAGTGACTAATGGTCGCGTGCGAATCGGAAGTCGCAGGTAGTTTCGAAGTATGTATACATATACACGTTCTTATCAGTGATACGAATCAATCTGTCTTCTTATCCCAGAAATAAGCATCTTTGCGTATCTGTTATCGTTGATAAGATTCCTGATAACGTAATAAAACGCGTTTGGTATTTTGCAAATCGGAAGCGTCGAAGTGCTCTTTTAATTCGGAAATTTGTGTATTCGTCCAACGCGATTGGTCGATTTATTTGCATTTGATTTTTACACTTCCGACATTTCCGATTTGGCAATCCCGAACGCAGTTGCGCGATGCAAAATGCCCGTTCATTGTCGATCAGCCGCGCGTAAAACAGTGTGAACACATGAACGTCCCTATAGCACGTCACCGTCGTTCGTTACGCTGATTGATCAACGGGAGGGTGCATGTTATCGCGGCATTCTCTCACCGGGAGGGGCAAGGACCCATCTCGACGACACTAGTTTTCGCAGACACCAGATTCATGCGGTTGTTTTGTGGAAGAGAACTAGCCACTTTTATATGTTTACAACAAGTGTTTGTTTCTTTTTATCAATTTCTGTTCTCGATAGCTAGATTTTTTTCATCTCTGTCACAATAAACTTTGTAAGCTGTGTTATAATTTATGGCAATCAGTTGTTACAGTTTGTTATCAATGCTTTGTTCTCAGTTAATGGCACTAATTTGGTATAAAACTGTTTACACACTGATATTTGCTATCGGTAAAGATTGTTATGTATATTGTGAGTCATTGCGTTATGTATGTCATGAAATAATTGATAGATGAAACAAGACCCCTTGAGAAATTTATTTAAAATTAATTTAAATCTATGTATCACATACAGGAAATAAGACTGAGAATATTTTTTTTTCTAGGATATCTGGATCACAGATTTTATAATGTATCTTATACATGTAATATCAAAGTAGATCTGGCAATTGTATGATGAATAATTCAAGGGAAATCTTAACAACGTATTGAATTGTGTAAAGGTGTACACTTGAATTAACTCAAAATGCAACGGTGTTGCTTAAATTACCAAGTCTTGCAATGGCTTACTTTTTTGATTCTGTATACCGCACGCAGCAATGCAGATATTCTAGTGTTTTCTGCAGTTGCAAGACACCAAATAGAGGAGGAATTTCGCGATATGCCTGCCAGATTTGGGAGCATGATACCACCTGATGGAATTAAAGTATCTCACTTTAATTTGAATTTTATTCTCTTTAAAATTAGTAGTAGTATATTTGTATAATTTCACAATCTCTTAAGGGCATGGTGGTTTATGCGGATCCTCCTCATGCATGTCAGAAGATACAACCACCGCCAAATGATACAGATTATAAGGGCAATTGGATAGTTTTAATACGACGCTATAACTGTACTTTTGAAATAAAAGTTCGAATGGCTCAAGAAGCCGGATATGATGCTGCTATTATACATAACGTAAACAGCAATGAATTAGGTAAATTAAAGGTTATTACACTGGTTGTGCATAACATGTTATCTACTTTAACGAAGAACGCAACATCACAAAACAACACTGTTACAGAACCAATGTCAGCAAAAGATCCTGTAGGAATTTTGATACCATCTGTATTTGTAAGCGATATTACTGGAGTAGTTATCAGGGAAAATTATTTATATGACCAACTGTATTTTATATTGATTAACGACGATCTGCCATTTAATATTAATACACAATTACTTTTACCCTTTGCTATTGTTGTTGCAATATGTTTTCTAATCATAATTATTTTTATGGTAAGTTACTGTTTTAGAAATGTTTATCGATACACCGATCACAAATGTGATTGGTATTGAAAAATAATTCTATTAACTTCATTTTTTTTAGTATTTTATTAATGATTTTTTTTAATTATATTGCACAGATTGTTAAATGTATAAAAGATAGGAGGCGACAACGGAGGCACAGATTACCTAATTCTAGTTTAAAGAAGATTCCCACACACAAATATACAAAAGGTGATCCGTATGAGACATGCGCCATTTGTTTGGAAGATTACGTAGAAGGGGAAAAATTACGAGTTTTACCATGTGCACACGGTATGATTTTTCTCACAAAGTTAGCTTTCTTAATGTTACGTGAAAGTATTAAATATTATATCATCTTTGTTCGCATGTTAATATTTTCAGCTTATCACACGAAATGCATTGACCCATGGTTGACGAAAAATCGAAGAGTTTGTCCCGTTTGTAAAAGAAAGGTTTTTGCGGCTGACGAGCAAGTTGTGACAGATGAGAGCGACTCAGACGCCGATGACACAACACCTCTCATTCGCGACGGTCACCAAGGTAAGTAAATTTATGTTTATATTTCATTCAAATATTATGAATAATCCGAATATTCTCGCAGGTACGCAAGGAGGAACGTTCACGAGACAGAGGGAAAATCCTTTTGAAAGAATCTTAAGAACGCGCGGTAGACAAGGTAGACAAGACAGACAAGAGAGGCAAGATAGACAAGATAGTAGTTCCAGCGATAGCAGTTCTGATTCCGAGCAGTCCGTTGTTACTGAGGATGATCGGAGTACTAATGCCGGTGAACCATCCGGTGTTACCGTTTTTGTGGTGTCCGATACTCACAGTATAAACGGTGAGATTATTACCAGCTGTGATCCCACATACGCTTCGCATATGTATCGGAAATATTCACCGAGTGCTTGCGTTTGTTCAATTTACAGGTGAATCGCAAGTGTTGGAATGTTCGGTCAGCAGTACTAAGCTGCATACGGTAAGTTTATGCCCAGATGCTCAAGAGATTCCAGGAGCTGTTGTTCACACCGTGCCAATGCGACACGCGAAAAACACGACAAATGCCGTGACATCGGGTTATCACGTCGAAATTTCGGATAATACGACGGCCGCCGATTCCAACAGAAACGATGTTATTACGTAATAATCTGACGTAGTATGTTATTCAACAAATCGATCGTGTCTCGTGGAAGGATTTTCTTTTTTTTTATTTTTCACGAGAAGAAGCAACTTGTACAATGGTGCATCGCGTTAGTAGGAGCGACAAAGGACATTAAGGACGGATAATGAAAAACATAAGTAATATATTGTTATTTAATACAAACAAACTTTACGTTATCCTCTTGTTCTCTCTTAAATAATGACTTTTCTATACATCAAGTATTTTTTTGCGTTGATATATCATTTGATTATTTTCAATCGCGTAATGTAACTATTTTGTTTTGTTTTTGTTTGTTTTTTTTTTTTTGCGAAAATAGATACGCTATTATTACAGTGATTGTATATTCACATAAATTGATCACATTTTGTAAAATACACGAACACGATATTTTCTAAATATTTTGTATATGTTTTAAATCTCCTACACACACGAAGTAAAAAAACAATACTATAGTGAGTCTCCGATTATTCAACTTGTTATATTTACATGTAAGAAAGAAAGAGATGTACGTCGTATTATATTGCTTAAATTTTTCTGATCTTGAGTCCTTAATAAAAACCGTTTTAGTAATGCATAGGTAAGACTGCAAAACTCTAATCCGGTGTTTGATTTGATATACCTACACACATACACATACACATACATATCTACATATTAGTTTTTATATTTTATTTGCACTTCACAAAATTAAATTTTACAAAATTATGAATTTCTTGTTTAGTTACGGAACATAAATATAATGTACAATATGCACATATGCCTAAAAAGATAAAGATTTTATTAATACCGATTATGTTATACAATGGGATAAATAGCAGAAACTGGTGATATAAAGTAAAGTGATGTAAAGTGACAAACACGTAGCTCTTATTACCGCGACATAGGATCTGTATATATTATCTGTTAATAATATATTATATTGTATATGAAAAAAGACCAAAAATTGCACAGATTCCTTTTAATGCAGGACATAGAATACTGTGAACAAAAATGGATATATTTGCGAGTTTAGATGTTAAGTTGATCAAGTTGAATCTTTAGTCTTAAGAGAGTTTTAAAGAAAATTTATCTGTTATCTGAAATATATACTAATATGGACTAACTGTACCGTTTTATATGAAAAGTAGAATAATACTTGTATATGTATGTATGTATATATGTATATATGTATATATGTATATGTATATATATGGTATGCCATATATGTATATATATATGTATGTATATATGTATATACATGTGTATATGTACATACATATATATATACATATACTATTATATATATATATATATATATATAATATAAAATATAGGCTGTTTACAATACACGACGTGTTAATAAATTACATGTGAATTTTATTACTGTCAAACGATGTCTTTCTTCGATTTTTCATCGATGCAACACTAAAAATGCGTGATTCTAAAAGCAAATATAATAATAAATTGTTATCACTGTAATACTCATTTTATGATTTTTTTGTAAGATTCATAATTTATCAATTTGCTCGCAAATGAGGCATTGATGAAAGTCACAAAGACATATCGGTAAATAATACACTTCGTCATGCGTACACACACGCATGTACGGAATTTCCGGAAAAGTAAAAAATACTATTTAAAAGTATTTATATCAATCATGAATTAAGCAAAATATGTGGCAAGGTTGTAAAAAAATTTGTAAATATAGCATTGATGAGATTCCATTATATACATAGACAGAAACGCGAAACCAAAAATATTTTTATTTGTTTTTATATGATTGCCAAATTGAAACAAAAATATTTGCTATTATCTTATTGTTTAACAATATATATTATATAGGTGTACAAAAATATACGCTAATAAAAATAAAATATATTTATATTTTTATTCTATTATGTAACTTGTCCTCTAATCCTATTTGTTTATACTAAATTCAATCACACAACTGTATAAAATTCTTTAAAAATAATGGAGGTATAGTAAACTTTTCTTTTTCTCTCTTTTTCTCGCTCTCTTTTATATTTATGTAAAGAAACTCGCACGCGTAGTTCTGTGTGTGTTCACTTTTTCTCTTTAGCAGTGTTGGGATACAGAATGCACACAAGTAGTGGACACACAAATAGCCATATCTACGATCCAATTAAATGATACTAACATTTCTACTGGAGAAGCCTAGAACTATTCTGAAGCACAGTACAAAATGCACAAGTAAATTCTTGGAATAAAGTTTGTTTATAAACACATGTATATTTTTTTAAATATTTTGCATAGAATATATACAACACATACAACATGTACTACTCATCTTTCCTCATAATCTCCTAATACGTATATAAGTAATTACAGTCACAGTAAAAAACAATAATTTTCTATTTAAGTTACTATGTGTTACTGTATGTGTGTGCGCGCGCGCGCGCAAAATGCAAATATATGTTTTATATACAGTATATATACAACTTGTAAAATATACATTTAAGTCTTTTGTTTTTTATTACTAGGTCCGCTATCTTGGTCATCATTTTGGAAAATTGTTTTCGGTTGTGTCTTTTTGTATGCCGGTGCGATCCAGTACGGTTGTTCCTCAGCTATCTTTGCATACTTGAGAATAGCTTCCCTGGGATCTTGATCGTCTTCTATTCGCTTGCTCAGTCCGAGATTACGTATGACATACGAACTAAGAGTTCCTCCGGAGGACGCCACTCTGCCACCTTGTCCAGAGGTGATGGGCAAATCGGGACGTCTCGATTTGACTGGATCCATCCTATCTTTCTCCATCTGCTTGCGAACAGATTTAGGTCTATCCTGGCGAAATAATGGGAGCGCGTGAGGCGTTATAATTTGCTGAGTGGACATTATCTCGATGTGTTTCTGCTTCATATGCGTCTTAACGACACACAGTTTGGCACCTCTCATGCTCTTCTTGGGATCGTAGTACACTTTGACAATTCCATTGCCGCAACCGACAAATATCTGATTTAATTTCGGATGCCACAGAGTCTTAATCACGTGTGAGTTGGTCACAGGTATTTCTCTGACCAAATCAAATGTTTTACTGTCGTAGAACAGTACTCTGCCAGTTGTTTTCCCTTTGCTCAAAGATTCTCCCGTAATGATCATAGAGTCATCCGGACTAAACATGCAATCAGTCGTGTCGTAACGTGAGAATAATTCTTTGGCTTCAAAAACTGGGTGCTTGAACGACCGTAAATCCCACAATTTAAGAGTGTCATCGCAAGCTCTGCTGGCCAACATCTGTCCGAGATAAGAGAAACTTAGACTTGATATCTCACTACTTTGCATGTGCGCATTTCTCAGAATAAGAGATGGATTTACAAAGTTCTTCCTGTGATCCCACATCTGAATTGATCCATCTATACACCCACATGCTACAGCCGCACCTTCCCGACTATAAGCACAAGTAGTAGGCACAGTTTTCACACCATTCTGAGCTCTACATTTTATCAAGCTCTTGTGACCACGTGGCCTGAACAAACTCCATATTCTGCAGGTACTATCTTGAGAACAGGTTAAATATTCTTCCTTCGTAAATGGATGCCAACAGCCGCTGTTCAAACTGGCAGTATGACCCTTTGTACGTGCCATGTCGGTAATATATTGATCACCTTTTACAGTTTCGCATTTCTCAAAACCATCTCGATCTAGAACTTTTGCCTGTGCTGATCCTGATATTACCAGTATTACATCTCCAGTCATAGAATACTGCAAACATTTGATGGGATGATTTTCACAAGGCTGCAGAGTTCTAAAACTCTTCATGGATGTGTCCATCCCAGCAAAATCCCAGAAGGAGAGGTCATAGTCAACAGATCCCGAAGCTAATCGAGCTCCAGATGGATCTGCAGCAATAGCAATGACAGCTTTGGTACCGTGAATCATGGAAACTTCATGAGAACAAGGAATCTTGTCCTTCAACATTATCTCTTCTTCTTCTTCTTCTTTTTCTTCGTTATCTGACGATTCTTCATCATCCTCGTCAATACTTCTGTTCTTGATCTCTTTCTTTTCTGAATCTTTTTCATTTTCTTTCACATCTGAATCTTTCTCTTCTGAACTAGCAAACAGTGATGATGGTATTGGTGGACCAATAAGGTCATCTTCACTGTCGCTTTCCTCTTTATCTTTCTTAGATTCTTTATTTTTGTTCACTTCTTTTTCATCAGAAAATACTTCTTCTTTTGAGGACGCAATTGTTTTGTCTATGTATGTGTTACTATTAATAGTCTTAGTAATATTTTCCATCATCTCTTGTATGTCAAACGACTTTGCCTTTTTTCCAAAACTTGTGATGCCCATCAGCTTCTGCATGCTTTGGGTTTCTTCCTCATCCTCTGGCTTGATCTCGTCCATCTTTCTCACATTGATCTCTTTAGGTTTCTTGCCAAACGTGCCAAATCCGAAGCTGGATGTTTCGCCAGGCGTTTCGGATGTCACCTTATTTAAATTATTACTAATTTTTCCAAAAGTGATCTTCTTCGAATTCATATTGATAACTTGGTTATAACAGATCAGAACTATAAAGCGACACACAAGTATGAATGCGTTCTGTTTTCTGCATATGCGCGCATTTATCTATAGTTCACGTTACTTAACTATATATACTATATATACTATATATACGTTACTTATACTATATAGATCATGCGCGTATATGCATGATCTATATAGTATATATAGTATAAGTAACGTAAACTATGTATGTATTTAACACTGGCTGCGGTCCGTTTCATGCTTAAGCGCACATTTATCTATAGTATACGTGACATATACTACAGATAAATGCGCGATTAAGCATGAAACGGACCGCAGCCACTATGTCAGCAATCTATATGCATGATCTATATAGTATAAGTAACGTATATATAGTATATATAGTATAAGTAACGTGAACTATGTATTTAACAGCTATGTCAGCAATCTCCTCTACTTCGGGTAAGTTTCACTTGCCGTTCGCAACGCGGATGGAATCATTTCATCCTTATTTTTCATTGAAAGTTAAACAAAGATAGGTAACGCTCACGAGCGTTGCGAACGGCAAGTGGAACTTACCTCCCTCCACTTGCTTGTGTGCATTCTGTATCCCACCCAACACTGCTCTCCTGTCTCATAGTGCTCCATACGAAGTGAATTAACACTTTAACTTCCAAGAGCTTTAGTAAAAATACTAATTTCAAGATGACTATGGCAATGCTGCAACGTCGCGCCAATGTAAGAATATTAATTTTTTTGGTTTAGTATTTTTACATAAATTTTGTGTTTATCCGATTTTCTAACCTATCATAACTGCATTTCTTCCGTGTTTGTGTATACTCGCTCAAAAAGTGTGCTCAAAATCTGACATCTTTTACTTTGTAAAAATGGATTTTTTTATACGTATATTATTGCTTTCTCATGAATGAAAATTTGTCATATGAATGAAAATCTTGTTTTAGGTAAGGCTACCACCTGAGGTAAACAGAGTGCTGTATATCCGTAATTTACCGTATAAAATTACGGCTGAAGAAATGTATGACATTTTCGGCAAATATGGAGCTATTAGGCAAATTCGAGTGTAAGTAATACATTTATATAGAGAAATAAGAGAGTAATATTTTTATTACAACTTCTTTAAAATTGTGATTCTCGTTTCAGAGGAAACACTGCTGAAACAAGAGGCACAGCATTTGTCGTATATGAAGATATATTTGACGCAAAGAATGCGTGCGATCATTTGAGTGGTTTCAATGTATGCAATCGTTATTTGGTGGTGTTGTATTATCAAAGCAATAAGGCATTCAAACGTATCGATGTTGACAAAAAGATGGAAGATCTGGATAAATTGAAAACAAAATATAATCTAAATGAGGAAAAAAAATAAGTGACTTGCAAGAACTATGAATTATTAATATACAAACAGAAGTATTTATAAAACGCACTACATTCATATGGATATTAATATGTGTACAAACTCTAAAAATTTGTTGTGTAAGTAAAATAATCAAGTACAAAAATAATATTTGTATGCACACTTATAAATTTGATACAGAGATGATAAGAATATTATTAATATAAGTTATTACAAATATTACTGTAAGTTTTAAATGTATATTGGATAATTAAGTGTGAATGTAAGATATTGAAGAGTTAGATTTACTGTATGATGTGTAAGTTAGCATGTGATGGAGGTATATCTGACGACAAGCAGGAAGATATAAATATATAAGTTGCTCAACGACACGATAACAATATTATTGATAAAATTTACAAAATTGTCCTCCTACCTGCATTAATTTATCTGCGTACAACTCTGTACTAACAATAAGATAATTATTTAGATAGAAAGTGCAGCGTTTCAATGAATCATTCTTTATATCTTTTCTTTCCTTTATCTTATTATTAGTTGCTATAGCATAAAGAACTTCTCTTTTACACTCTCGAAAAAATTGCAATTAACACCACAGTCGGAGTGACGTTCTTGGCTTTCAAAAGAAAAGTCTCAAAAGGATGATAACAAAATCTCCACTCACATTATTGCAAGTAGTATTGTAAAGTATCTTTAAATAACTTTTTTTGTTCTAATAAAAATTACTAGGCATAGAAAAGTAAAATAATTTTGTTTTGTCTATAATAAATATTTATCAACATAAAATAGAAAAAACGACAAAATTGTTTGTAATCTTTTCTTTCTACGACCATTGTTGACATTTAATGTCATATTGTTTTCATCTGTCATTGATAAATGATACACGCGTAACTTAATCGTCTCACCTGCTCATCCGCGTTTTGTAATTCGATCCTGCTGTATGTGTGTGTACATATACATATGCGAGGCACGCTTTCTCTGTTTTTTGCTTCCGGAAATATCGTGATCGAGCTAGCTGAGAAGAGAACCATTTCCGCTCCCGTATACATATATCACAACGGAGCAATCGCATCGGAGTTTGTGAAAACGATTGAATTGCGTGCAGCGTACGTGTGTACAAGAGCGCGTACGCACGCGTGCGCGCCGCGGCGTGTCTCCCGCGTACGTACACGGTCTCTCTATCTCGACCCATTCGATTTCAGTCGAAAGCGAAAACTCGCTTGGCGTTCACCGTTTCACCCGTTGCTCGCACGCCGCTTGCTCGCGGGATTCGCGTCCCGTTTTCCGGCGTGCGTTTCGAGTATCAACCGCACGGTTGTCACCCTGCGAGAGGTCCAAGGAAGAAAAAAATCTTATCCAGTTCGCGAAAGCGCCGATCGCGTCGAGTCGCACGTTCGCTATTATTGTATTAATGCTGGACGACAGCGACGCGGCGTCACATGTCGTATGACTGCTGCGGCGACGGCCGCACCGTTGGCGATACGTTCGGCGTCGCCCTGCGCAGCGTGCTCCGCTTCGTTCACGAGGGCCTGCACGATCTTCTTTCCGAGCATCAATTGTGGCCGTTTCTTGCCGTCATCGCTGTCATCGTCGTCCTGACAACGCTACTAGCCAACCGGTCTGTTCGTCACGGAACGTTAATATCTCGCTCCGAAATGTCACTGTAGACTCGCACAAATCCTCCGCCAGCGATGATTATCGCACAACGCCCCGTAAATGCACCCGATTGATTGTTTATCGACAGACAGAATGAACAAGGCTTGAGAAACGGTGGGAGCCGTCGAGACTTTATTATCACTCACGCGACTTATCAGAGAGACGATACGCAAGTGCATCGATACGAGAGAACATTTTTGGAGAACACGATAATGCGGCACGTTCAAGGACTTTTTCGTCGCATCAGCTGGAGACGGACGCTCTACTACAAAGTCACGAATGCGTATCGCGACGGGGTGTGTTCGGCGATACACACACACGTAGCTTGCGATTTTCGCAGCGCGACCAATTCTTCTCTTCCTCTTCACAAATAAACGTCTATGAAAGCCGTGAAACTTGCGTATAATTTATATATATATATGTATATGTCGACCTAATACACATATGTCATTGCTTGCTGACCTCAAACTTTTACTGACGTTTTTCGCACGTCGCACGTGCGAAACTCACGTGTAATCTAATAACGAAGATTCCTTCCCCTGTTACTATCTCTGCCCACTATTTGCGCCTAATCTCTTGCCTAGATATCGTTCGTCAGGGAGCGGAGTTTTTTCTGAAGCAACTCGAGGCCTAAGCTGTTCACTATTTGATTTTTTCAATTTATCCGAGAATTTCAATGTCTATTTATAACGCTCGCCGAGAAACGTCTCTCGATTTTCTAGCATGAACGTTCCCGCATCGTAAAACGCTTTAATCCTGCCGCAAGTGTCGTGCGCGCGAGCTCGGCGCGTTGCCTGGAAACACGCGATATAAGCAATGCATCTTTTCGTTCGGCTAACATTGCAAACACATCGGTTATAACAACGATTCGAACGACTACGCCATCAGCGACGTGTCCCGCCCGCGGTCTGAAGAGCGGGACGGAAGGGGGAAAATGGCGGATTCGCATGTGGTGAACTCGAGTCGATTCGATTGATGCGCGCGCAACAATCGCGCGAAGTCACGTGACCCGCGACTTCGATTCGAACTTCAGAATGAACGCGCGCCCGGCCATGACTCGCTGTCGAATATAAGGTGCTGCGATTTTTTCACGATCTTCGTCAATTCCATTGTCGGCAACAACGTCGCAAACAGATCGGGGACACGCGTGAAGAATCAAGGAAATGCAACGGTCACTGGTGATTGCATCACGACGATCCGCTCCCTGTTGTCTGCCGATTCGCATCGAGGTAAGTGCGCGCGCGTTTTGCTACTTCGGCCATTGTTCGCGTTCAACTCGTTCTTCGCCAATAACTTTGCGATTGTAGACCGGTTTGCGGGTTTGAGTAGAAGAAGCCGCGCGATGTATTTTCAGAAATAAATCCTTTCTCCGCCGTTTCTCTCTCTCTCTCTCTCTCTTTCTCACTCTTTCTCTCTTTCTTCCGTGTAATTTACATATGTACATAAATATAAATCGACTTTGTCGTCGAGACTCCGGCGAGTCTCGTAAACGTGGCACGAACGTGCGCTACGACCGCGCGAGGTAAACACAGAAATAAACGTGCCAAATGGATCGGTGGCAAATGCAAGCGCGCGCGAAGGGAAGAGCAGAAAGACGGAAACGCGCAGCGGTAGATGAAATACCATGTGCTCCCTTTCACGCGACGACTTCCTCCAACCCGCTATACGAGCGCCCGTGTAGAACGAAAATAGACGCAGAAGGAAACGACGACCAAAGCGCCGAGACTTTTTAACGCGATGTACATACATGCTATGCTGCGAAACTTTATTTCGACGTCTCGATCTCGACGTAAAAATAAAAAAAAAATCGCGAGCCCGGTCAAAAATTAAAATAAGATTCCTAAATTTGGTTTCGTGTTTATTCTCTCTCGTAAACATTAAAATAAAGTTTATTTTTATTATTTTTACAGTTAAAAATATATAAAAATAAGTTTCTTTTAGAAATAGACTGAAGTAAAAAATTGTATTGATTTATTTGTAATTGATATTTGTTGAAATAGTTTCGTCGCGCTTTATGTGGATGTAAAAAAAAAAAAAAAAAAACGTGGTTGATTTTATTTCAGGCTTGTTTCACTGCGCCTGTCTGAATCCGCCGCACAAATTCTGGCGTTCTCTATGTTCCGCGCGCCGTAGGGGCGGCGTTTTATCGGATGTATGTGTATTTACACGTATGTCACCTCTCACGACTCTCGCGTCTCGACTCTTTTTCAACGTACCACAAGCGTGCTTTAACGAGCGTGAACGCACTAAAACGAGCGCGCGGAAACGCCGCGAGCACGGAATAACACTGCCATTTTGAGGGCGATGGAATTGCGACCTTTAATAAGAGCGCCGTCTTTTTTAATTGCAGGCGGCTCGTCCCATCCTGTTTCCCTACAACGACGGGCGGCGATGTGACGGGATCGACTCTTTTCTCCTCGCAATTTGTCACCGCGACATTACTTCTCTTTTTCTCGGTGAGTAACGCAACGCCTCTTTGTGTCGTTCGTTCTTTCGCGCAGTAATGCGCTTTTCTGTCGAAGTAAAGGAAAAGAACTTGCTCTTTTAATAATTGTAATGCCATAAACAACGGCGAAATTTACTAGAAATGATTGCGATGTTCGTGAACGACAAATTATTGTTTATCCAATTGTCAAATGCATTTATTTTTTAATTTAGTAAAAAATTACAACGTTACATTACATTTTGTAAGTATGCGCATTTGAAATGTTAAGAGAGCAATCTTTTCGCTTCAAATACAATTTAACAAAATTATAAAAAATATTAACTTATTTCACATTTTATATAAAAAAAAAAAAAAAATGACTTTGTACACGTACATTAAACGTCACGATATTACTTCGAAGTGAGTACGTAGCTCCAATTATATTTCAAATCGAAATGCATTTGTCGAAGCAATATATTTACACCTTTACTACAACGAATGCAAATAACAGTGATCGGAAAACTTTAATTGAATCCGTGGTGAGAATTGACAGTTCATATGCGTGCGTTTCTTTGAATACGCGTTCAAAACTGCTGTTCACATTGCGTGCGGTGTTGTGCCCAATTAATGAACCTGTTCTTATTGTATGTGAATAGCTTTATGTAATTGTTACATATGCTATGTAACAGTAAATTTATTTTAATATCGTTATCGTGATTCATGAATATAATAATGAAAAAGAAGCATTGCGATAAGAGTTTCGCGCGATTTATATTATTTACATCTTTCTAAAACAAATTATACTCAAGTAGCAATTCTCGAAAACCTAATACCATTTTAAATTTTACAAAACTTGTTGTTCTGCCTTTTACAGACCAATGTGCGCTTTTTATAAATTGCTCAACTGTCGTTAACACACACATACGAGATAATCTTAGACAATTTTTTACAGAAAGTTATTAGTGATATGGCCAAAATAATAATTCATTTTGGCCAATAAAAATTTTTGTAAGAGACAAAAAAATATTTCTAGGAATCTCGCAATATAATCGCGCGGGGATTTTTATTGTACAAGAAAAAAATTGTATATAATATAACGTATAATACATATGCTCCGCGATCTTAATATTAATAGCGCACACAGTTATTAGACTGTCGTAACAGTTACAGCTACATTACGCTAACAATTATGATAGTAAAGTAAAGCCTTCGCTTACCAAACACAGAGTTAATTGCGCGCTATTAAACGTCCGGCGCGCAGAACCGCGTATCTTGTTATAGTTGTTATATCCGAGCAATTTTGTTTCTTCACGCTGGTAAGTGCGTCACGAGCATTATAGGGTAAATTGAAAGCATTAGCGTGACGAATCGAAGGTTAGGCGTTTGTTACAACTAAAGCTATGGTTCAGTCTCGCGTCGAGCTCGTTATCCTTTTATCGCAAGCATTTCACGACAGGTGAGGTCGATGTTTTTATTGTGTCATCCCTGTATGATGACGTACGACCTCGGCCGAGATTTCACCACAATTTCAAAGCTAACGAGTAATCACGCACATCTCTCTCTCTCTCTCTTTTTCTCTCCCTCTTTCTCTCTAGGTTTAATAAATTTTATTTAATTTTTTGTCAAAGAAAACAGAATTAAACATACATGTAACAGAATTTTTATTACATTCACGATACATGTATAGATAGATTATATACGCGCGATTTCTGATTTACAGAACTTACACGAAATGTTCTTCCAATGTGCGCGAATACCGTTTTTAGTATAACTGAACTAACAGTGAGAGATAAAATCGCTAAAGGGACTTGAATATTATCAGGAGCGCGCTTTTCCACGCGAAGTTTTCACGTAGGTTCAATGCACTCGACTCTGTCACATGATAAGGGCTTTGCATGTGCACGCGACGTCATATTGCTAATAGAGCAGGTCTCGATCGAGGCTGCCGTATCGCGATAATGAAACAAATGAAAAGAAATGACAGAGCGAATGAAGACAAATGGCTTCGGTATATACTAGTCTCGATCTCCTAAAAGTAACAGAAACGAATGAGCGGAACAAATCGACTCTAAGTATCTGACGATATTTACACGATGACCCTCTTTATATAAAGATGATCATGATGAATCGTGTGTGCGTTCAAGTTTTTGTTTTCATTGATTATTAGTTAAGCAAAACACACGCATGCATGCATACATAAAAACACAGGTAATTTACAGAAAAATATGAAACTAAAACGGCGAGAAAAAGAACCAGTTTTCGACCATAAATTTACACTTTGTAAAAGTCGCATTTAAATTGCTTGAAAAACTTTTACGAATCAAGAAAAGATAGGAAATGGGACATTCAGCTAAATAGAAGTGAACGCGGGATATTTGCTCACGTCATATATTTCGAGTGTGTTTTGACATTTTGTCGGGATGAACGAAGACGATCCCCGCGATTGGCATCGCGGATCGTGAATAAATTCGAACGGATTTGAATAAAATGCTCGTTAAAATGATTTGTCCTTCGTCGGTCGTTCGACTTTAAACGTAGCTCCCTAAATTTGCTACAAATATCTGGCGTGGGTCCTTCGATGCTGCAAATTTCCATTTCCACCGCTCGTAAATCTTCGCAATGACTTTTTGCGGCACTCGGGAAACCCGGCATCCTGAATTTAAATTACGTTTAATTTAATTCGCGATCAAGCAGAATATTGTGTCATTGCAATGCATTTCGATATAGATTTCTCTGGTTGAAAGTCTGATACAATACAAATATCATATTGACTACGAGAATCGCTATCTATCTATGTCGAGAGTTTTTTTGAATTTAAAAAAAACGGAAACATAAAGAGAGCGCAAGAAAAAGAGAGAGAGAGAGAAAGTAAAAATAAAGTCAGCACATTTAGCGTCTTGTTTCCACGTTCAGAAAAAAAAGCGGGTCGCGCAAACGATTTGATCGCCGTCAGAACGACATTGCTTGGCAAGGACGACTGCTGCCGTCATTGTCCATTGGCCTAAATCGCGCTCTAGCTAGCTCACTATGTGCAGCATGTTAATTCGAACGAGAAGAGAAATGCTAATACTTTACATCTCGTTTCATTTGTCAATCTTTCTTGTCGTTGGATACGTTTATTGGGACAATTTAATTATTTGCATCAGTTTGATGCGTACAAACATTCTCATCTCATGATATTCTCACGAAGATTTTATGATTGACTTTGCTATTCTATTTTTTTTTCAATTATCCACTGCAAAATGTTATGTTCCCCGGGAAAATAATGAGTAAACTTAAAGGAAATATTAAACGAGGCATATTTTTATGTGTATAAGCAAAAGTATATTATATTTTTTAATATAATAGGTATAAATAACGCGTATAATATTAATTTTCTTATTTTAAAAAAAATAGAGAAATTAATCTGGTTTGCCAATAACATTGGACGATGAATCGCGTGTCGTTGCACATTCAGTTTCCCTACATTCACGACTCTCACGAGGTAATAACAGGCTGTAAATCCCCGCACACGCACGTACGGCGGGAACTAATTACGATCTTGAATATCGAGTTTCTCCGCTCGCACTTCCACTTTCGTAAAGAGTCGGCGCATCCTTGCGCGCAGAGGATGCATCGGCTGCAAGCCGTGACGCGTTGTGAAAAATTCGGTACGTTCATGTTGTAACACTATTTGTGAGTAAGCACAACTCGAGATTATTGCGGACGTCAGGAAAATTCGCATTTTGCAATATATATTGGAATATATAAATATATATGTATATATATTATACATATGTATATATACACATAAATATGTACAAAAACAAAAATATACGCATTATCAAGATCGCTTTAATGAGAATTAGCCTACTTGAGTTTCGAAAGTTTTTTTATAACTGCGCGTTGCGAGATTTTATTACGAGAAAATCGCGTAACGTAATTTTCTTGAAATGGGAAGAAAAAATATTGAAAAAAATAATTGGAGATTAATTCTTACTTGTGTGTAAAACAAATTATCTATCTCGTTAGTAAAAGACTAATGAGGCTGTATCATCGCGTATATGATGAGTTATGAAGTTTAACTTATAAACCGCGCGGGAATAGCTAAAGTTTAGCAAGCGATAAATTAAACTTGCGTCCGATTGTAAGTGTAATAGACCCGGCGAATGCTTGTAGAACGCGTGTGCAACTTCGAGCTTTCGCGTGTGTCACGCTCTAATTACTCGAGAAGAACGAGTTCCTTAGATTTTTGGTGATGACGCTTCAAACGGAAACTCGATTGCGAAATCTGCCAAATTTATTCCGCGAAGAGGAGAAGCAGAATTTTCGGACCGCGCGCGAATATTTATACGTGACAGGTGCTTTTAATCTATATGAACGCCTATTCCGGCGTCGTAAATATATATACTTGCGCGATCTGCAAAGACGATTGCGCATAGAAGTAGCGCACAGATAGAAACCACATTGGCCGGTGAATTATGCAAGAAATTGTTCTGCTTTGTGCTTCAATATATTTTACATCTTTATTGGATTCTTTTTTTTTAAGAATGTAAAATGTAGCAAATGAGAGATTCGTGTTCGGATACAATTTTCTCCGAAAAAAAACTTTGCCACGCAAAACGTGGTCCACTATATTCTTCTAAATTAGCCTCAATTTGTAAAAAAACAACATGGAATGTTTAGCTCCCAAAAGCAACGAGATTTGCGGTTCGCAAGTCATCAAACGTCACACGCACAAGTATTTTGTGTTTTCTCACAATCGCATTTGAAAACAATTCGACACGGCGGGATTCGTCGAACGTGTATTTTTTTGTCTCGCCTTCGATTCATAGCAGTCGCGTGATGAAAAAGTATCTCAGAAAATATCCTCGAAAAGCGATTGTGCGTTCGTTGCATGGAAATTCACGCTGCAAGACACATCATTCCGTAATGCAGAACTAGGCTACTCGTTCACATTCGATAATGTGCGAACTTCATCGAATGCACCTGACATTATGGTGTACGCGAATAGTTATCTCCCTCTCTCTCTCTCTTCTTCAAAATATGCAT